ATATGTTATTTTTCTTTCGTCTCTCCCCAAGTTTTACGAAATATTAAAGAGAGCAACAACAAAATCTCAACATGTTTTTACAATTTGTTATGTTGTTGATATTCGACTGTTTTCACTATGTGCACCGCCAATTACAAATATATATAATATTAACAACACGAGAGCAAATATTATTTATATTCATTCTTAACTATTTTTCCTTGTTTTTTATTATTATTATGTTTGTACGAGTCCGGAGAGTTGAAAAAAAAGCAAAAACTTGTATTCAAGTTTGAGAACAACAAAAAAAACACAAGCGAAAGAACCAGTTGAATGAGAAATTGGTATCGTTGATGTTCAGGAGCGGAAAAATGAGACAACCAAATGAGCCCTACCTTTGCCAATGAGTTTAACTCTTCATCTTAACTTCTTTTTTTTATATATATTCATTGTGCACAGCCCGTTCAATCAAAGCCCTTTGCGCTCCGATGTTATAATTTTATTTTGCCTTATTTCAGTCGCGTTTTTAGATCGTTTTTTTTTTTTGTTATATATGTTTAATGCTTTGTAGAACAAACTGACAATGATGGCGTTGAAATGCGAATCAGTAGAGAGAAAGACGGTATGCATTTAAATGGCATTTATATCGATTCACGCCTGACATAGTCTTCGTTTGGTATATCATCTCTCACAATGATATTCGATCTGCTTGATCAGAGAATACCATATTCACATATGTACACACATACACACGCATAATCTGAATACATCATTAGTCGAGATTTCACACATAATTATCAGCATTTATCACAATTTTCAATACATTTCCATTGTGCCAGTTCAAGCGTAAAAAGAAAGAAAAAAGTCCACAATGGTTTCAAAGCTGAGGAAAGGACAGAAAGAAAGAAAGAGAGTTGATTTCATTTGAATGGTGAAGCTAGAACTCCCAAATGGCTGTTTCGTGATTTCATGCTTGACTTTTGCTCGATGATCCGACTTCTTATCATATGTCAAAATCGGTTGTTGCTTTTTTTTCGCCTCACAGCCGACAGCGTGAGTGAAAAGAGAGAAGAAAATAACCAAACTGTTCAAATGTTAAACGACGTTGATTCGATAACAATGTATTTAATAATTGAGATCAAGTCATCAAATCCAATAAAATTAAATATTTAACACATTGAATGTGCCAGTTTGATCGGTGGATTGGTATGCGATTCGAATACAAGCAAACGTGTTCTCTACTATTTCTTCTTTTTCGATTTGTTTTTTCCATTCTCTCTCATCCAGTTTTGAGATTGAGAAAATCATACAGTGACAATGCACGAAGGTGAGGAAAGAAGTAAGCAAATAAAAAAGAATGATTATATTAAATTGAAGAAACCGAAGATACTGTGCGTTTCACAGTCGGAATCGAATCGATTACACCATCTTCATTACATAAAAAAGGCAATGACGGCGTTGACAATGATGAAATAAATCGAATTTTCGGCTTGATATGACTTTTGGGTGCGTATGAACGAGTGAGTAAATATGCACGATAAAAAATGATTTGTTAATTAAATATGAAGAAGGAAAATGAAAAATGAAATGAATAAAATTAACAGCGCAAATAAACGATATTATTCCAGCGTTAATGTGATCCGTACGCACAAAGAAAAAAAAAAGAAGAACCGATTCATATGTTGGGGAGAGAAAAAAAATGATTCGTAGATAGATAAAATGCATTATGGCCATTATGTTCACATTTGTGAATATATGGATATTATTCATCTCCTTGTGCTCCTTCTTTAATGCATATGTAAGCTCAACCTCTTTCTTTCATTCTGAACTTTGTAAGTATTGCCGGTAATGGATTCGGATAAAAATCTGTTTTCATTCGTGTGTTCTTTTCTTTGGCTCTTTTTCTCTTTTAATAAATCCACATTCTCTTGAAAGTCACACCATTTAGTATCTGATATATATGGAGAATGAAACATGCAACAACAAAACACACACACATGGGCGCATGTGTGTGTGTGTGTGTGTGTGTGTGTGTGTGTGTGTGTGTACCGAGGAGCAGAGTGTGAAATTTAAAAGTGTTAATTAAGTTATAATTAAGGCCCTTTTGAATGATGCATTTCTTTTCCCATGTGCACCATGATATACGCACTGCATTTATAAGAGATATATGTTTCAAGTGTGTATTTTTATGAAGGCTTTTATGCGCGCACAAAAGAAGAGCGAATAAAAAAAATCGCATGAAGCAAAAACAAGAAATGCATCCACAAGTCAATCACTTTTTACACCATGATCTCACTCTGTCTCTAACACGTTCCTTTTTTGCATCTTCTTTTTTTTTCGCGCCTCGTTCTTTCATCAAAATACTGTGCTACCACATTCGATTTGATGTTGTTGTTGGTGGCTGGTTTTTTTTCTCTTCTATTTCCCAGTTGCGCTTGTAACGCCGCGCACGCTGATGCTCAGCACTTACAAGAGTGACGGTGTGTCGTACTTATTATATATTTGCAAAACCGTTACGGATGCCATGGTTGGCGAACGAATTCGCGCTCGCGCTCGTCTCATACTATTTCAAAATACGAAAATTATTACGGCTCATTTGTTATTTAGTTGAAATTAATTTGCACGGGTGTGTGTGTGTGTGTGTGCGAGCGCGCTTGCATTCGTCATATACAATGAAGCGGCAATATTTCCTTTTGGCATCAGGCATCAACAGCGAAAGAGTGCACTACAGAAATCGAGCACCAAACATAAAAACAAATTATGTCATAAAGCCCATAAATCGTAAAATAAAAGAGAAATAAATGCGATGCATTCAGAAATGCTTCTCGAGGCATTTTAACGCTGTAAGCGATGACGACGACACGGTAAACAAGACAAATGGAATAAAATACATTCTATATTTCACACATATTTTGCAAGCAAAAGAAACAGAGATGGATAGAGTGGATAGGGAACGAGAAGAAGAGACAGATAGTGAGTGGTTGCAACCACATGCACAGATATGAATATACTCGAGACGCAAATCGTCAAGGAGCTATGAATACCACTTCCATTTAAAATGAATGATTTAAAATTTTAATTGTCAAGCTTTTGCAATCACGGCACAACGAATAGCATGGCATCGCACAGCACAAGATTCAGGTGCAATTAATCATCACGACATAGAAAAATGCCTTTAAACCACATTAAACCAGATAAATTAAGTAATTTTTCCATGAATTGCGCATATTATCCTGATCATGAAAAGAAATAATAGAAAAAAAGAAACAATTGAAAAAACTTCCAATTTCTACTTACAATTAAGAAACCCCAATGCATCTTAGCTTAATGTAATTGCATTTATAAATCTTTAGACAATTTGATTTTGAATGTTCGTTTTCGAAAAATGCTCAAAAATTTAGAGCTTTTCACTTATTTATATATACCCTTTAAGAAGACGGAGAAGAAGAACAAACACACACAAAATTACCTATAACAAGTCATTTAACAAACCAAAAAAAAAACATGCATTATAATGATGATGTTACTTCACTGGTCCAACAATTAAACTGATTGAATTAGTTCAAATGCAAACGAATTGGAATGAGCATTTTTGTTTTGTAGTTTGAAATCGGTTTCCAATTGAGATGAAAATGAAATGAACCACGAATTCATGAAACAGCAAATTCTTTGCGCAGCAGTATGATATGCAATTCGTTGTGTACATCGAAAACATCGGTCTGGATATGTTGTTCGTTTGTGTCCCCCCGGCGACCGCATACAGCAATGGTTTAATAACATCATTAGTCGTTTGGTAGTTTGAGCCATTTTTCTCATTCCAAAATGCATGATAAATTTTAACATTTGGGTAAGTGATTTTTGATTATCATGCTATTAAATGCCATTCAGCTCCTAAAAAGAGAGAATATGAAAACAAAAAAAATACACAAAGAAATTTTTCGTCGAGATATATACATTTTAAATAAATGTGAAACGACAACCACATTGCACTGCAGCAAGTCAGCAGTAACAGACACTTTTGATCACATCACAACGTGAGCATAGGTAGAGAGTTTTTAATATACATTTAATTGTTGGCTGCTTTGTATCTCGTGAAACAATTCATTGGAAAATATAATCCCTTTTTTTAGTCTGTCTATTCCTCGCTCACGACTTTGGTCGCAGGCAATGGTGAAGCATTTATTAAAATAGTTAATAGCATCGTTTCATTCATTCTCTCTCTCTCTCTCTCTCTCTCTCTCTCTCTCTCTTCCTCTCCAGTTAGAGAGTGGTTTAATTCATTGTGCGTAGTTCATTTTTATTGGTTGACATGTGTCTTTTTAAGTTTCCTCTCGTGAGCTGTTGCACTTCAGCAATTTGCACATACAAACACACGGCTAATCCGTTGGTTGGCCAACTGGTTTTTATTCTGTAACCTAAAGATGAACGCCACACGGCTTATAATAATTAGTAAATATTCGATTTATAATCGATTAAATTTTTTAAAATCTTATCAATTGAGATTTTGTTTTGTCACGTTGCATTCCCTTTTCTTCTTCAATTCATATGGCAGTTCGTCGTTTTTATACTCCAACTTTTCTTTGAAATGCAATCATAAAAAATGAGAGAAAAAAGAAAACATCCGTTCAAACAGTTGAACTAAAGTTCCATGAAAACTTTCTTGTTTTCATTTGGTTTGGTTGGATGGAAACAGGCGACTCATTCTACCAATGTAATGGCCTTTAATAAACTTTTGATCTTTTGAGATAGCTTCAGAGTGAATGAGCAACTGACTATGTGCGCATAGAAATACCGACCGCACACCAAGCGGTTCCAATACCACTCCTCATTCTTGCGCTTTTCTCAATATTCAAAAGAGAGAGAACGAAAAAAAAAACAATAACAACAGAGAGAAACCAATGAAACGTTAACATTGTCTTTATTTTCTTCATATTATTTCAATTCTCTTTTCAATTCATTAAAAATATGCAATTAAATTTTCTCATCGTCGTCGATTCCACAGAGAAAATAAAGATAATTCGCGGAGTCAAAGAGCAATCAAGCAGCCACACACTTGTCTTTTTTTATTGCTAGTTTAAATGCATTGACATTGACCATTATAAGTTAAAAAGATCACAATCTATGTTTGTTTTTTATTTTTTATTTTATTTACGTGCATCCCCAAATGTAATTTTTAATTTGAGGCATTAACAAGCGACTCGTTTTTGGAAAGTTTTCAAAAAGGTAAAAAAATGTCGATATTATAATTATTTTTTCTGATGAAGGGCATTCCATGGATAATACGATTTGTGTGCTTGATGTTGGTTCGATGGATATTTATAGCCTGGAATTTGATTCGGATGTACAATTGGGTTTGAATTCAGTTTCCAACCAAATGGCGTTTGTGCAGGTGGTGGAGGCGACGGCGATGACTTTTTGTGTGTAAAAATCGTTATTGTTGAATGAATTATGCCACCTGGTTGTGATATCAAGCGGATTTCCGTTTTATTTTGATGAAAACCACCGCCAACGATCGACGCAAATGCACCATAACCATTTTGAACATTATCGATCACTTGAATACATTCAATCGTTTGGGAATTTTCCATGCCCTAAAAGAGAAAATCAATACAAAACGATAGAAAAGCACGGTAAAAGTTCAAAATCTTTGTTATTTGAATTGCTATTATGGATAAAGCAATACACTTACGGGCACTGGATAGATGACACTTGCGTTAATAACTTTTCCTGAAACGATTGGTGGTGGTGGTGTAGATGTTGTTGTTGGTCGTCGACGAAATGAAATGTTCGATAGCCAATTGTACCATCGTCGAACTGGACGTGATGGCATGTGAATAGCGTGCGGATTATTCATGGTGATGACTTGCGTGTAAATTGGTACCAATTCATGAGCAGTTCTTGAACAATTCCCATAGAATAAATTGTGTTGAACAGCACTGGAATCGTAAATGATGAGGCCACAACAAAATAACATTGACAAAAGTAAACTTTTCATTTTTGTGCGTCTCTCTTAACAAAACCAATTAACAAAAGAAAAAAAAACTTTTTTATTTCGTGCTTGCTTCAACGATGTCACTTTGCTCGCTGAAAGTTTGAAGTCACAATTTCAAGTCAGCAATCTAAAGTCGCAATCGATAAATACGTGGTCTGAGTCTTTTTGATCGGTGTATAAATAGCATTTTTGATATAAAACAAAATAAACAAATCTGGAAAAATAATAATAAATGAGATCAATGCGCTGGTTTTGTTTTTGTTTTATCAACAATTCAAATTGTTTTTTTTTTTTTTTGTTTGTATCGATTCTTTATTGTTCGTTTGTTCGCATGATCCATTTCGATTTATACACAACAAGAACAAAAGTATATAACAGATAAATGTTTATATTTAAAAATTACTGACGCTATAACGATATTAATAGCTTGAATCGATTAACTTCATGATAAATCTCATTGAATCTCACAAGAAATATAGAATAACCGTATTTTAATTGCGATTATATCCGTATGGCTGTTGATAGTTATTCGATGGATAAATCCAACCGGCTGGCGGTGCAAATTGAGATGGTGATATTACATTGTTTTGATACGATCCCATACTATTCAGATTTGAACAACGCTCCGTAAAAATGTCGACGTTAAAACGGATATCGTGACCCGTTTGAGATTTGAAATAAATAATTACATGGCCCCATCTAATTCCGCCTTCTTTGATCATAGCAAATCCACCTGTACCATCTGTTGCATTATCTTTTATGATGATGCAATTTATTAGACATACCAGTTCTCCATGCTGATTGCAAATCGGAAAATATAACGGCATAATGAAGAAGAAGAGGGAAAAATATGAGATTTTTTTAAAAAAGATAACATAAAGTGTAAAAGAAAATAAAGTAAAGAATAATACACAAAATATGTTTAATCTGTGAAAATCATTGACATATATTTAACTGGTCTGTTTGTACAGCTTTTTTCACATGAAAATTTGTGTAATTAAAAAAAAAATCTTACTTCTGGAAAACGGCAGGTTTCTTCTTTCTTTCGAAAATAACTAAAAAATCCAGTATTTGGTTTATGAATAACTTTTGATACAGATGAAACTGTGCCATTTGTTATGTTACACGAACCAATGATTGAGTTATGACTCAAGCAATGAAATTGCTGGGCACATGACAAAAATACTAAAACACTAGCAAATATACACCAAAAAAATTGTTCGCGTTCCATTATCAAGCGCACACGTCTGATTATTTTCACAGATGCAAATCAACTGAGATCTGCAACGGTCTCGACAAACCGTTTTCAGTAATCGAAATTTAAAGGAAAAAAAACCTTATCTTATCACCCCTTCAATGTTTTAACACAACTAACAAGCGGAAACAATTCTATATTAGTTTTTACCGTGTATGCGTGTGTACACGATAGAATGAATAACCAAAGAATTGAAATTAAAAAATGAAACTACCGTGTTTTCGTGTTTCGTTCTACAATATAATTTTATTTGATTTGATATCAATTCAGTTCATTTTCATTTTCATTAATCAGTATCGTGACTGTTTTGCGTGCGCACGATGATGACGAATGACTAATAGCTGACTACCAAAAATGCCACCACGGTGAATTTGATGGAGATGTTAGATTTTGTACAAGAACCGAACTTCTATTGAACGTTGATATATTTGTGGGTTGAATCCAACCGTATGATGGTGACGGATTTGTGGGTGCTGCTTTTTGAATTGCATTTTGTTGATATGAATTATTTCGCATATAAACGGCATTTAATATGATTGTGTAGAGCATCGATTCGCCTGGTTTTGAGCAAAAATTAATGGTAACATAGGTTTGATGCAGACCACCATCAACAATTTTCACCAAGCCACCTTTTCCAAATCGATCAGCGTCCATCACTCGAATGCCGGCAAGCCACAAATCCGAATCAATGCTCTAAACAAATTATGCACACAACAAGGGAAAAGAGGGTTGAAAAACGATTGTAATTATAATGCGAATAATAACATAAAATTGCACTAATTGTACTTACTTTGTTTGATGGAAATGTTTCGTTGAAATTTAGCACCGGCTTTTGCGAACGAGTGAAAAAGTCAAATATCACTTTATACCATGGTCGCTTTGGTGTCGGATACTCTTTTGTTGTGTTATAAATTACCATTGGACGAAAATCACCAATTTCAATGTTATTTGTTTGAGCATTTACATTGTACAACATTGATAGATGCAATAGTAAACAAACTCCCACTCCAACAAAAATTCTCATTTTTAATATGTAATATAAACTATCAAGCTGTGATAATAATTCGGTTGTTTTTTTTGTGTCTATCACACTAGAATGATATAATCAACGTGGATATTTTTCTTTAGATAAAATGTTGACAGACGTTTTTTTTATCTCTTGCGTCTTTTTCTTCGAAAGAAGGGTTACAAAGATTTATGCGATGTACTTATTGCAAAAACAAGTGAATAATGAACCGAAAATATGCGCATGAATATCAAAATAAACAGTTTTGTATGTGTGTACGCGCTACCGAATCTCGCCGATCAATGAAACCCGAATGAGAACGATAAAATAGATTTAAAAAAGAATGAAAAAAAGCCCGCACACAAGTGCACACCAATTTATATACTTATTCTATTGTACAGAAATGATGCTCAACAGTTATGAGTGTATTTTGTGTTTTTATTTCTGTCATCGTCTCGCAACCGCTCGCAACAAAGTATTTGTACAGATTCTGTTGAACAGAAGCAGTTTTGTTTTAATTGATTCAGCACGAATTCAACCTGAGAATCAACGGCCAAATAACCTATTTACAATCATTTTATTGACAAAATAACATTTTTCCAATGCCTTTTTTTTCGTTTGCCAAAAAAGAAGCAAGTTCAGTTTACTTTATAAATAGAAGAGATAATATTTTTTTCGGTATTACGTCATCGAATTAGCAATTACTTAATTTGTTATGAGAGACGAGATGAGCAGCCACACTTTCTTTATCGCATTGTACACACGAGCAAGGGAATTGTGTATATTTAATTTATTGTAAAAGGCAATGTATCATCGGTATATGACACCTTTTTGGCGCGCTATTTGCAAGGGCGCACACTTTTTTTTCTCACTTCATCTCCAGTAGATAAAATTGATTTAGAATAAGGAAAAAAACAGTTATATCAATAAACAGAATGAACTAGAAACGATAAGATGGAATTTATCACGGCATACAAAAAAAAATACAATGGACAATGAAATGCAATCTATTTGGTTATCACACTTTTCTTTTTATTCACATGAATTTTTTTTAAAAACTCACATTTTTTGTGTTTACTTGAATGACTCATGCTTAAATGAATTTAATATATATCGTGAGCCATCGTGTGATTTCATTATTGCATTAAAAACAAACAAAACCAAAAAAATCAAACGAGGAAGAAAGAGAGAGAAGTAAACTGCACACGTTCTTCATTTTTAGACGTAAATTAAAATGGTTGAATGAATTCCATGGCCACGTTTCGATACTAGCTCCATGCTAACGAATGTATGACGAACACCACCCTTAATAAAACGTAGTATAGGTCCATGACCAGATTGCTTATCATTAATATGAACAATTCCACGAATCTCGGATGTTGTATTTGAGAACTACATGTACATTGTCAAAATGAAAACCGAAGAAAATATTTTAAATTAAATAAAAAATTGCGAAAATAATGAAATAAATCGGAATGATTACATTATCTTTTGATGGCCAATCGATGACAACGGTTTTCACCGATAACATTTCACCTTTGACGATGATATTTTCTTTGAGCGCAAGATTTGGTGTGGTTTCACCAAATGTTTCCGACGTACAAGTCACATCAGCGATAGCACAGAATAAGCTGAGAATTACGATATTAATCCAAATGTTTGCCATTGTTACTTGTCCAAACTGAATTTCGTGTGAAATAAATGCGATCGCGGTACGATCGATATATTTAAAGACTAATCCGTTTAATTTAAACAATTGACCATTTTATATAGTTTTTGGTTTTCGATATCAGATAAAAACCGAAACCGTTGACCATGCATTCAATTACAATCATTACAATAATTTGTGGTACTAATTTTTTGATAATTTTCGAATTTAACGAGCAATTTAATACGGTTGAACGCGCGCGCGACTTTGATCAAAAATTCCATTAAATGCGATTAGTTGCATTATTGTATTTATTCGTAGTAGTAGTAGTAATAATCATAAAATGTATATGATTTATGTCGTAAAGAGCTTAAATTTAAAGAGATTAATTTTTTTCTTCTGTATTTTGTTCTATGTGTTTCAGATGCCTTGGCATGAAATCGCCGTTTATTGAATTCAAAGCCCATCACATCGAGGTGCTATCAAATCTAAGCATTTCATTGAATTCAAGCGATCCGAATGGTGGCGGCTTCGGCAACAACATGATGAGCGGCAATTCATTCAGTTATGCATTGGAAGCTGCGGGTAATCATTCGATTCAGAAACAATATATGGATATGGTGAAGAAACAACAGAAATGGGTAATATCAACGTCATCATCGTCAACGGAAAATCCGATTGTAATGGCTGCAATGAATAACAAAAAAGAGGTCACATTGATCGAAACCAAAGATCAAATGGATGGAAAACGATCAATTGATCATATTGATCGTAAGTACATTATTCCATTGGCATTGAAGGTGGCAAATCCATCGATGGTAACTTCTGCATCGACCACCACTACAACAACGACAACAACAACACGAAAACCACCCGTTTTACCCGATACATCACCGAATATTGACGATTTGAAGCGTCACATTTTAATGTTGCAAAATTTAACGAAAAACGATGAAAATTTCCAAAGTAAATTTGTTGTTTTTCCAAGTTTACAGCGCACCGATGCCCCTACATCGACCACAACATCAACGACCAGCGCCAGTTTTACAACAATTTATCCAACACAAAGCGTTATCGAACATATGCCAACTACGGTGCGAATACCGACAATGCGTTCAACAACAACGAAACGTGCAACAATTGCAACAAAACGACGATCATCGTTAAATGTGCCAAAACAAACGTGGCCAATATCAAAAGAGGAACAAAAACCGGAAAAAATAACAATTGTTCCACAAGTGTTTTTGCAAAATGATCAAACACCAATGAACGACGATAGTTTTGAGCGTCCACCACTTGACGATGCACATAATTACCAGAGGCAATTGAATTCACCGTCATCGATGTCGTTGTCATCATCATCGTCATCATCGTCATCATCTTCATCATCGGTGTCATCCTCGCACAAATTTAGCTATACTGATTCAAAACCAGTGTTTTTGTCGTCATCGACCAAACGTAATAATCAACAACAACAGCAACAATACGCGACCATCACATCGAATGAACATAAACAGCAACAGCAAAAACCAAAGAAAAATGCCAACGCAAACCAACGAAATAAGGAAAAGCAATTAAGACGTGAAATGCGGAAAAAATGCAAAGAGGCTCCATTGGACCAGAAAAAAAACTGCACAAAAGCATTTCAGATTAGTTTCAATTTGACATCGGCCGCAGCTGTGGCTGCCATTCGAAATACCAAAACGAAAAATAGCGAACACCAATCGATTGGCGGTGACAGTGGCATTGGCACCAACACAGAAATCATTCGATCGAATGGATCGTCACGATTCAAAGCAAACTATGTACCGCCACATCGAAATATTCAACCACCACATTCGGTTAATACAAATAAACGTCCCGATGATTTTCTATACGACGCTGGTCATATGAATGATGACAAAAAAAGCAATGATGATGACGATGACGATGCTGCATTGAAGCAATCAATTTTACAACGAACTATTCGTAGCCATCGTCGCCACCAGAGACGTAATGCATCAGCAGTGATTAATTCGATGTCACGTCGTGACCATCCTTATTCAATAGTAACACCGATTACTTCAATAACCATAAATGAAACAGCAAGTGCTGGTGATGCGACAGCAGCAGCGGCGGCTATCTTCAAAGAAAAAATCGATTTGAATCCTGATTTATGCTATAAAATCACCGGATTAAGTTACGGTCAACAGAAATTATGTGCATCAAATACACAAATTATGCCAGCGATAAGTCGCGGTGCCCGAGCAGCAATACAGGTTCAGTTCAAAAAAAATATATATATTCAGTAATTTAATACGTGCGCTCACGCGTAAAACTCGCCACAAACACACATATGGACACAACGAACAGTGTGGACACACGAGCATGCAACAGTTTCAGTGTGCTTTGTACGTGCCAGCATTTGTGTATGTGTGTTTGAGGTGTTTACATTATCATTTTTTTATTAGTTGCGCACATTTTTTTTTTCTTCTCATCTCTGATTTTGTGATAATTAGCATTAATAGCGGTATGTTCTTCTGTTCCCATCACCATTCTGGTTGATAATTTTTGCACGCGCGATTTTTGCTTTGCGGCCATTTCAATGGTCAAACATGAACTCTTCACGCTCATTGCAAATCTTATTCATTTGACATTTTTTGTTCGTTTTTTTCCCTTCCTCTTCTTCTTCTAAATCGGTGGCTTTCCTTTTCAATGACTTCAACAAGTATTCCGGTATTTTGTTTTGCCCCCCTGCAGAACATGTATATTTTTATCGCATTTTTTTCTCTTTTGTTTCTCTCTTCGGAGACAGTCTTGATCATGATGTTTTCTTTCAACGAAATCTTCTCTCAAAGCTGTTCACTGGGTGATTATATTGATGGATGTATGATGACCGTTTATGTTCCATCATCGTACGCAAGCGGCACGATTGTTATGTAAATGTATTTAAAAAAAATTCAATGAAAAAAAATTCATATAAATATACTCCGGCGTGTATTTTCCACCCGTTCATTATTGCGCTAACTTAAACAGTGCGTGAAATGATTTACCTGTTGTCTACAATCCATACGCAACACACATTCACTTTATGTTCCTTCTGTTTAGTAGCCGCGGTGTGATGAATGCAATGTTAATTCTATATATTGCTATAAGGTGATTCAAACCAACATGTTAATGATGATGAAGATAATAATATTGCATTATTATTATGATGTCGTCGTCGTTGTCGTTGTCATTCACTTCTATAATAAACGGCAGAATGTTCGTCATTTTTGCTTCTTCTTTTTTTCATTCATTACGTTGTTAATACGTGGACACATCGAATAATGTTATCACCTCATCGTGGCTCATATTGACGTCGAGCATTCAATCTATTTCTAAATTTCTCTAAATCGTTTGCAACTGTAACTGGTCAAGATTTTACATGTGAATTTTAAATTCAATCACATTTAATGACAATCCATTTACAAACGCATGAAATGAACATAACCATTTAGATCACATTTGAATTATTTAAAAGTGGTTTTTTACGCAATACACGCATTCGTCGTCATCGACATCAATTTTTCGTTTTTAAATCCGCTGAGAAGATTCGGCCCAAGACCGCTGATTATAGTTGTTTTCAGTTATCGATAAATTTTTTAAATTCATGATCAAAGTCAAATTTTCAGTTTTCTAATGAAAATATCAATAATAAAACGACGAATGGAAATTTTATTTCTCTTGCTCTGAACCATTTGAGAAAACATACGTTAAAATAACTGGCTCGCTCCATTAAGTTTTTTTTTTAAATTGTCGATAAAAATTAGAGCGAACGGAGAAACTTTGAATAAAAAATGAAAAAAATTGAATAATGTTCATGTTATTACCGATCCTCGTCTAATCGACAATATATTTGACCAAATAATTATACAGAAGAGGAAAAAAATATTGCATACCTCCTGCATCATTTAAATACAGTTGATATTTGGGAATTAAAAATCTCATAATTTTCTTCGATCCGTCGCAGATGTTCTATTCCACTTGTAATAGCTAACCGAAGCTCTTCAGACTCATCACATCATCGTTCTTATAGATTTCACAAAGAAACACACTCACAACATTACAATAAATGCAATCTGAATGAATTTCAATAAATTGGTCTGTGAACGGCTCAGGTTTGTGTGTGTGGTCTTTTCTTCATTTTCGAATGAGCTTGTCGATGCGTGTGATGAATCGATGAAATCATAATCGTAATAGAGCCCAAAAAAGGGAATTTAATTCTTTAAAAGGCACATAATAACTGACAGCACGAACAAGAGCCACGACATGCATACACGTTAGAATGTGGTGAGAGAACAGATAAAACATACACAACGAGACAAATTTATTCGAAATAGATAAAAACCAGAAACGAAATTAATGAATTTTTAACAAACAAAAAAACACACACACCATAATTCTAATCTTGACATATTCGTTTTGTTTCCGTTTCAAATTTGTGGTTGGTTTGAAAAAAAAAAAAACTAATAATAACAGGAATGCAAACATCAATTCAAAAATCGACGCTGGAATTGTAGCACCGTTGATGACAACACTGTATTTGGACCAGTCAGTGGATTGGGTAAGTGACATTTTTTCCCTATTATTTCAATAATTTCAATTTCATATTTTTTTTATTTCGATAAAACTGGGACAAGCGGAATATTCTCAAGGAAATGGGGAATATTCGCGCAATGGATAGAAATTCTTTGAGCAATAAATTGCCCGCCCGGTATAAAAGGGAAACTTATTGCCTCTAATATCGCCATTAGCCTGGCTTTGACGAGCATTTTGCATTTTATTTTCTGTATACAGTGAATAAGAGGATAAGAGCCTTACTAAATGATGCACAATTTGAAGTAGCAGAAAATGTCTCCCAAGCAGAATTAAAAAAACAGAACAGAGAGCACGGAAGAAAGCGAGATGGAGAGAGATTTACAGAATCACAAATTGAAATGTATATTCAAGCGTATCAAATGATATAATAATAGCAATGGAAATGGAAAGTCCTAAATACCAAAAGTACCAGAAATTTTAACCACTTTGTTTCGTTGTCTTTCACATTGCTTTTGTACGGTTACAATGAAGATGGCATTTTCTCTAGAGGTTCTATCTATCTCTCTCTCTCTCTTTCATTCCCATCCTCTCAACAGTCAAATAAATTCAAGCAAATGATATAATGGCATCATTTCTTGAAGAGAGGCAAAATTGCGCGCTTTTTCAACTCTCTTTATTTTTTGTTTTTTTGTTATATTATTGTATCAAAAGAGATAAAATTGTCCAGAATTATTGTGCATTGTTTACGATTTGTTCCTAATACGCGTAATGCCATTTTGGTGCTCGGTACCGACATATAGATTTGAGGATGAGAACTCTCTTTCTCTTGAACAAAGCTGGCCCGAATATGGCTGGTGCACGTTGCTGGTGGCTTTCACTTCACAGAGGGTTTGTCATTTATTTTTGGACCGTAAAATACAATGAAATATCACTGTGTGTAGTATATCTTTTTTTTTCTCTATCTCTCTCTTCTTTCAAATTGTGTGTATATCTGCAACTGAATGCTTTTGTCATTTCAATGTATATTTCCATAAAACACAAAATCCCCGGTAATCATTTTATGTCGCATCCAGCATTCGCTTCACTCCGATTGTGTGTGTGTGTGTATGTCCTAGTGTAGATCTATTCATAATCACAAGAACAGCTTATTCTCTCCGTACACACTCAAATTCGTACTCACTCTCGTACATGCATTCATTTAGCAAATACATAATTTGATTGATAATTATGCACGCTTTACGCTTGATTATCATTCGTTTTTCTGGTTTCGTTTCGAAGTCTTTTCTCTCTTTCTCTCTCTCTCCTGAGCTCTTTTTCATTTTCGAGAAGCCTCTTTTGTTCCCATCTGTATCTGCTTGTTACGATACGGGATTGTTTGCAACCGTATTTCAACTAAAATCGGTTAGCTGTTGCTTGTTGTTCTCATATTTTGCACTAGATCACACATCAAATGCAGTTTTGTAATGCTTTCTATATGTGCGTAGTATGGATTGCGTAATGGATTTTGGCCAAAGTGAACGTCGCTATTGTGTACTATGTGTAGCTTTTATTTGGTATAATTCGACAATTCGTCGTTGCATCACCATCATTTTATTGCAATTTGTGTGCGCATCATTCTCGTCGTGATAACTTTTCTAATAAACGAGAAGAATTGAATGAAACAAAACACGAAAAAAAAATCGCTGTAATCTCTGAAAATGCCTTTGTTTATCCTCAATTAAGTCCGTTTTAGTAAATTTTGCATCCCAATATTCATTATTGCACTATACAATCAATCCAATGAAAATATGAGTCATCGAGAATATTTTCAACGCAAGTTCTTGTTTTAAATCTCATGCATTTGCAAAGTTTTAATTGAAAATTTTCATCATAAGTATGTAATCATTTTCGAGAAAACGTCCACACAATTTTATTATTATTATTTTTTTTATTTTTTGTGGAGATGTGCTTTTTTGCATACACTCAATATCCACTCAAAATTCGTTCATATTTTATAGAATGCATCAAATCATCATGAACACTAAAATCATCAGTGGTTATTCCATTGCAAAATTTACCATAGAGTTGAAATATATTATACCAAAATTGTGAATAACACATTTTATAACATTGAAGCGCATAAAATTGAATTGTACACATATGCCAACAAGAGCCATTGATTCGATCATGTTTGCACAAACAAAATGTGCGCCATTTCCATTCATAAATCTTTGATACTTAAACGCTTTGAAAAAGGGCAATGGACGTGCGGCCAATACTCTTCGGATCTTTAATGGATGCAATAATTGGCCACAACCAAAATGTTTTCGACGATCAATGAATGGCTGTTGGCTATTTTCATATTGCCAAATGCTTGCTCGCTTCATAAATGTGCAAAATTGCACTTTTTGACTATGTTTGTGTGACTTTTCATAGTTCGAGAAATCCTCTTCGTCGCACATTTTGAAAGAAAAGCTACCGCAAATTCGTTTACTCTTTGATGCCGTCACGCATACACGCACACCAGCCATTTAAAAGATTAGGTGGCCGAGGATTAATTCAGGCCACATAATTTCCTGTATGTATATTGTACACACACACACACAACCATTGACTTGCTTTCGGGCACGGAGATAAAAGCATCTAATAAAATTCATATGCTAGATTTTTGGATCAACAAACATTTGATATTTTCGTAATTTGTTTTTGGCATCAGTGGCGATGACGAAAGTAACAAATATATTGAAGATGGAACACAGTGCTCTTTTTTGAAAAGCCGGACACATTTCCACTGAATATCAAATTGAATTGAAACCACTTTGATGTTTTTGTTCATTGTTTTTAGTGGTTAGGCGTTTATTTGATAGGTATTCAATCAAAATGTTTGCATGTGATTGCAAAGCATTCGATTTTAAATCAATAAACGCACAATCTAAACTGATACCGAACAAAAAAGGGGCGAATGAGAGTGTTCGTTGAGAAACACAATTGCCCACAGTGCATTATATTCATTTCGCTTACTATGGGTAATAATAGAATATAATATGGTGAAAATATGGTGCCCAAACGGATGGCTCCGAAATGGCTCCCAACAACACATAATGGACATTTTTACCATTTCAGTCCCTCGTTTTTGTGCATCAAACATGCACGTAACTCATTCATACACCTGTCGGTAATTCTCTGTTGGTTTTTTATTATTTGAACCGAAAAAAATGAAACATGCATTGTAACATAGTTGAAAAGTTTTTGGTTTCGGGCATGTTAATTTATTTTTGAACCATTTGATTGGTTTGAAATGGTATTGATCTCAACTCTTTGTAGAATATTGCATGAATATTAAGGATAATATTATTTATTTAAATTCAAACCGATAAATTGCCATTCATCAAACTCTTTCTTATCAATGAAATCGTTTGAAATTGTCGATCAATTGATATATTTTATTATTATTGAATTGTCACATTTTAGAAAAACAAGGGAAAATATGTTCCTTGAATTTAAAATTAATCTCCATTGAAATCCACTTGAATTGAAAGGATGTTAAAATTTTTCATGTTTACGATTCTTTGAGAAAGTTTATTGATTCGAAAGCTTTGGCTATAATTCGAATTTGTCAATTATTTATTGGTGTGTAATGCACATAAAAACTGAAACACATATCGACAAAGAATGCGTCAATATTGCCAATTGCATTGTTCCTATCTGAATAGTGTTGTTCAGAAAACGATGTATTCAGTGTGCGCGCGTAAAGTCTCTTCCCCGATGGCAAAATGCTTGTTATACATGTATTAATTTCATTGAAAAGAAAGAGAACCGAATAGAAAAACAAAAAATCCGAAGTCAACAACAAATTTTATGTGTGTTTTAGTGAACATAAAACAGGCAAATATGAGTTAAACAGTATGCATTGTGCACACACAAATACGAGACATTGTATCAGTTTTTTTTGTTGAATTGGCTGGAAGCAATGGTTCCCATATAACAATTTCGGTTTCTTTGCCTCGCATTTAATATGTTTATACATACATCGCAATTGTTTTGGCTAGCATCAGCAACAGCGGCAGCAGCATCAAGTTCAGCATTTGTTTCGAAACAAATAAGTAGCTATCACTAAAAAAAACGGTAGCAACCATTGAGCATACATATTATTTTCTGTATCAAATCTGATCAAATTACAGTTACGTGCAGTCATAGCTCCGAATATATCAGTGAACTCTTATGCCGCGTGTGTGCCAGAGAGTGTGTGCGAGCGCGTTTCGATGTGTTCGTTTTCTTCCGGATTTTTGGAATGAAGCGGAAAAATCAAATAACCGTATAGAATAGAGATTGCATCTAATTTGTATATAATAATAGCTATGAGCTTACAATAACCTTTGCTTGTAACATTTCTCTCTCTCTCTCTCGAAATGTTTAACTGACTAAAACCCAAAAGCACTCTGTAAATGTGAAGGAGAGAGAGAAAGAGCGAGCAAGCAAGCAAATATAACCCTTTGTGATGCGAGGGCATAAACAAATGGACTAGTATTAAATGTACTGGAGTAAGCATTGAATGGCGCGCGCGCTCTCGCACATCACCATCTGATACAGTGGATGGCCTTAACCATGATCATTTATGCTGCTGCTTCTGTAGCCGTACACATTATGCCCCGGAGACGAGACAACAAAACCAAGTATAATAAATTACGACTATGAATTCAACATCAAAATATTGCGCTCTTTTCCTTTCGGTCGAAGAACATAAAAGAAAACTACCGTGTACACATCAACAAAATTTACATCCAGCTTACTTTCTTCCCAATTTTTTGTTGCGTTCCAACAAAATAAACAAAACTACAATATAATCTATCTTTGGCGCAAGCTCTCTATCTTTCTCTGACATTCTTCAGCATCTTTCGATTCAAAAATAAATAGAAGACTAATTCATTCAAATGGTTGTTTTAAGAAAAAAAAGAGTCAAAATAAATGGATTGAAATCGGTCGTTTGCCATCATCGACTATCTTTGTCATCCCTCTCAAATCCTTCGTGTTTTTTTGTTGTTTGGCGAACAACAATGGAACAAGCAATTCAGATGAAATTTTCACTACAAATTCATGTACATTTGTGTTCAATGTATTTTGTGCCATGCGGTCATGAGTATTCTTTGTTGCGAAAATGATACAATCATTTTAATCCCATTTGAGCAATTTGGTTAAATGCACCGCGAAAATGTACTGATTAAATTGTTCTATTCCAATGACAACATAGACGAGATGGAGTTTTGTCAGCTCGAGTCGTTAATTTGTGAATGGTGACAGAATGGCCAACTCTTTGAAAGTATACACAACACCATACACATAAAGATTCTTCACATTTTCTCTGACTGAATTTCAATTTCCTGAATTTAAATATTGATTTGATTTTTTCTTTGTTTTTTTTTTCTGGTTTTTGTCCAAAGGCGCAATCCAATCGTAAACGAAATGACGCCTTTTTAAATTGGTTATTGCGTGAGGGAAACAGAAACGGAAAACATTGTGAATTCTCGATTTTCGAGTGGTAAAGGAAAAGGCAAGTAAAGTACCTATGATTTGTACATATGCTGCGACATAATGCACATCCATTATTTCCGCACCGATTTCAATATTGACATGCTGGTTTCTGAACACTGAGTCATCTACGGAACCCGATTGGCCTCATACACAATCTATAACTTCATGTGTGCTCGTTGTGTAAATGTGCTGTGTGTCAAATCGTAAACCGATTATAAATAAAAAAAAAACAAACGGTTTTGAAATGCGTGTGAAATTGACAAACTTGAGTCTTCAAACGTATTCGATCATGAAAATCATTACAGTATAATGAATTCTTTTTACCATACTGCTCATTGAACACTCCCTTCGATTTACTTTCACAAAGGATAGATCGAAGAAAAGATGTGAAATTTCACACTTTTTCTCTATACGATTCATTTCCTTCCGTCATTCATACCATCAAATGTTCCTTTAAATAAAGATCAAAGTACCGCATTTCAACTATAGAGTCGTAAAACTGAAGATGAATACAATAATGAATGAAAAAAATGTAATAATGTCAAATTAAACACAATGAACGCACAACAAAATAGTCAGTTATTAATTTTTGTTGTTGTTGTCGTTGTGCGAGTACCATTCGGGTCTCCCTAACTGGATATGTTATATGTAAAACATGGTCACACACAAATATTCGCATTGTTCATCAAACACGTAACATTATATCATTTCACTTTCTTTTCATTCGTTTGTTGCGCGTATTTGTCGATCGAACCTCTCGTTCGTTTGAAACACAAAAATAGGGGTTACACCACTAAATACGTAGTATACTGTTTTTTTTAATTCTCTGTCCAGATTTACAAACCGTTCAAAATACACAGCATTCTGTTGACGCAAACAACGAATTGAAATATGCTTGCTCGATTTCAATTAGTCTATTGTTGGAATATTTTTTTTCGCTCTTTCTCTTCTTCTCGATTGAGTACAACGATATCAACGACACCACCAAATGCGCACAGATTTCATTTTAACGATTATTATGTAATATTTGTGTTATTTTGACTTACATTTTTTTTTGGTGAGTGAAAGAGAAAAATGTAATTGCTAATTGTGTTTTGTTCGCAAATAGATTCAATTCTTGTACGCTGACAAATTGAATAAACTGTATACATGCACTAAACAATATGAACTTGAAGCAACATCGCTGTATGGTCTCATTAAAATTTAGGTTATTGTACTCGAGCGGTCATGTTCAAAATGTGCACCACTTTTTCCATGAAATGAAAAAACTCGCACACTTTTTTTCCAACATATGGGTTCACATACACTTACCAAGTTATACATTCACAAATTAATATTCTAAACAGTGGAATTGACAAGAGTCTTTTTTTTAAATGATTCATAAAAAAGGGGTAAACGCTCTCATTCTCAGTCAGTCGTTTCTCTCTTTCTACCGTTCTTCGTTTATGAATCAGCTTACTAATCATTTCGGTGACATAATGCAACTTATCACGCCATCGACGACACAATGTATGCATAATATTAGTGTCTGTGTGGTTCTATATGTTCGTTCATTGACTTGATTTGAATAATTTTTCTGAAGCAAATCGAACACATTTTTTTCTCGTTTTTATTCTTTAAACGGGATATCTCAATGGGATTATACATATATACGCCATACATAGAAAAAAGTACACAGATTGTTCATCATTTTCGACACATGGTCTTGCATTTCGTTTCCAATGAATCGCAATTTTGTAACAATTTCGTTTTCTTTTTGGCATCCATATTCATGTGGTAAAATCGAATTTTATTCACGAAATACTCATTGCCAAAGCACACATAAAATGATCATCATGTGATTTTTGTTATCATATTTTGGCAAAAAAAATTATTCAAAAAGTTTTATAGCTTATTGAGGTTTTCGTTTGGCTTACGCATGCATTTTCCATGCAATTTGTCATGGCGTCGATACTGCCACGTTTATATAGCTCACACAAATGAAGCGTAAACAATTTCCGTATTTATGTTCAGCGCATAACTGGATTTTATGCGAGATAGGATTGATTAAATTGAAAAAAAAGTAGTAGTTTGATGGAAGGGCAAAGGGCAAGTGGTAGAGGAGGAATATTTTATCCTATATACAATTATGGAGGAGTTTTCTCATTCGAATGCCTTTCACCCCATCTCATTCGATGAAAATAAAAGTAAATCAGCTTGCATTGAAATGCATTTTGAATGCGGATGGCAATCCAATTAATCTATGCATAATAATTTATTTCTATCTCTTTCTCATTCTTTTAATTTGCAGGTTCACCCGAAATGGCATTCGTGCATGCAATGTCCGCTGCAGCAGCTGCCAGTTTTATAGCACGTGCTTGTCGCGATGGTCAACTCTCAACATGTGGTTGTTCGCGCAGTTCACGACCACGTCAATTGCACAGTGATTGGACATGGGGCGGTTGTGGAGACGATTTGGAATTTGGTTACAAGTAAGTTGTTGCACATTTTTTTCATACGCATTAACTGCGAACAAAAGCCGTTTCAATAAAAACTTGCTCCATAAATATGCACATGTGTCATGGATAACGTCTTAGGGCACAGCTGCAATTGAATGAATATGATATCCATGGCAAAAGTCAAATCGTTTTTATATATATACGAGTACATTTTTTCCGGTTAAATGGCTAAAGCCTCGATGATGGGGATGATGAATAGAAACATAAGTGGGTAATCATCGATGCGCACATATATTTCCAAATTCACATATTTTGTTTATCCATCTATCAACAATTTAAATCTGATTTGATGACGAACCGATTTTCAAATCCGTTCATCTATTCAATTCAAAGTGTTGTTTCTGTTTCTATTTTGCTGTTGGGTAGGTTGCCGCGAACACGTTTGAAATGCGCATAAAATATTAACGACAATGGAATAAGAGCAGTGTCAAAATAAGTCTATGTCAAGTGCACTTGTGATTGAAAATTGCACATGACGTAAAAAAGTGACTAAATGCTATGCCTCATTCGATTGAATCGGTAACAATTCCTATAGGATATAATAATAACTATAGTTCGCGTTTGATATGTACAAGGATATACAAAAAAAACCAACATATTTATGAAACGCAATCGAACAATAACGTGTACACACAAATACGTGGAAACGATATACGACGACGGAAGTGTGCAATGAGGAACGAAACGTGAACGATATTATTATAAGAAACATGATGATTTGGAACGAATTTATTGTTTCAAGTGTGTTGTATGGCGCAAACCTCTTTGCTAGTTCTACAATAACATTCAAACGAAACAAATCCACTAAATCCATAGAGCACACATACCGATCGAGGGGTACATAAATTACCATGCTGCATACAGGAAAAGAAAAAGAACGACAAGCATGTATGCACGAGAGCATGTGTGAGAGAGAGAGAAGTGCTGATGTGCATTTTATGATATCTATTGCGCGGATATTCTTCTCAATCTCAACAATTCAGACCAAACATTTCGCAGATGTATGCGCACTTTCAACAGCTCTCCATTTTATTAATATGCAGTCGTAAAATATTTTTTCATTTGTCTTGATTTGAAGAAAAACAATGCGATTCCTCATAAAATAGAAGCAATCCAAAACTTCGAACATTTCTTCAATCATATTATACATCAATAAATTCTTGTTTTCCTGCCAAGAAAAAAAATATGTCGAACGATACTTCATGCATTTAAATCATAACCATTCACAAAAAAATTTCGAGAAAAAAAAACGTTAACAAAATGCCATAAATTTTGAAGTGAACGCAGATGTTCATGAAATCGTCACCATAAATAAATAAATTCACTTCTGTTTTGGTTTGGTTTTCCGCATGTCAACCACTTTTTTTGCTTATCTGTTTCTCTGTTAACAATTCGCAATGATTCAACATCAATTGCACAGCTTATTCATTTTCCATGTTCATTTCGATGGTAAATGAGCTTTTCAGCAGTTTTTTCCATCTTAAGCAACACATTACGGCTTTTTAAGTTCGAAGCTAAAAAAAACTTTTCACGGTTTTTATTAAGTCAAAAGTTTCCGTCATCTGTGTTCAAATGAGAGATCCGATTCAAACGTCATAGAACATTCGTTTGCTCACTCGTTCAGCAGTTACCCTTGAGAAAACATTCTCTTTGGTAATGCAGAAACAGTATATAACCACAAATGGGCAACGTTTTTCATGCGAAATCTATGTCAAAATTTACAAAGGACGATCATTATTGAAAAAAAAAGAAAGTCCATATGCTTTTACGTAGAAAGCGGGAAACTTTTCAGACTTTTGTCAATTTCATTGATATTTTTAGTATTTTTTTTTTTAAAAACCTATGTAATCTAGCAAGTCTTGTTTCTCACGCGAACTCATCGGAAAACTGCGAGAAAAGCTCACATTTTTTCAAAGAAAATCTCATTTTTCCAGTAGAAAATCCAAAAATTTCAAACATCTACCCAAATAAAAATCGTTAAAAATGCGTTGAATCTCAAACAAGTAATAACGACACTTGGACCACAAACACACTTATTAAATTGGTACGTTTAATTTTTGCACGGGTAGATTTGCAGTGATTTGCTACAAACAGCTTTCTCTAAAAATGATTTTCCATGTAACGGGCGCACATAATGTTTATAAGATGGAAAACTAGTAGTGCACATTTTCCACAAAACTGCGTATGGTTTGCGATCGATTTGTGCAGTAAAATCCAATGTATGTCGTTGAATACGATTTGTTGGCTTTGCGCAACTCGAAACATTGGAACAGGCAAACACCACCGAATAGCAGACATTTGGATGAATTTCATTTCTGTTTCGGTCGCGTGCGCGCTTGACAAAAAATATAACAATTATCGATTTGTTTATCCAACGGTAGTTCACAGAGTGTACATTTACGATGGAGTTTCTTGTATGTTGTTTGAATTTATGGCATCCCATGTGTACGTGTTGCGTTAGCCGGTGATATGTGTGTTCGCCCTCTGATAACGCACTTAGCACACAAAAACAACTGCACTTGTTTGTTTCGAACGTTCTGTGTGGTTCAACGATAAAAAAAAATTTCCGCGTACCAAATTAAACGGAATGAACACGGTCGTGCTGAACTTGGAAACAAGAAATTTTATTTTTGTAGATGTGTTGAACGAATATGATACAATTTATATACATTCAGATTTGTATCCAATGTATGTTTTGTTTGTGTTCTTCACTACGAAATTCTCCAGCTGAATATGGGTTGTAAAAGCGGGTCTTGGTGCGACAGTGCGCATCCTGGTGTTTCATAGTCGGGGTTTTCGGTTGGCGTTGAATGTGCCCAGTTTACAAATGTGCACCAAAAACGCACAAAAACAGGAGGACGTTCGATGTTCAGCCTTAAAATTGGAATATTTCCTACAGAAGGCGTGGTGTATAAACGATTACTATTTAACAGGATAACAGAATTTCATTACGGAAAATATTCCATAAAATAATGCGGTTCGTTTGAACTGAGCACGAGCACTATATGTGAATGTGTGTGCGTATAGAACACACTTTAACCCTCAAACATATTGCATTCAGTTTTGATGTGGTATGCGAATGGAATGTGAAGAATGTGCACGCAACACATTTTCGATGGTATGAAGTGTTGTTAAAGCAATTCCTGAATGAAATTCTTCGCCCCAAAATGTTTAGAGATTCGGTAAAGAGAGCATATATCAGTTTATTCACTTCTTACGCTTGCATATCCCAAAGAGGAGAAAATAAGCAGCAACAGTTTTACATCACTACAACAGGCGACTGGCTTGGTGAGCCTTATTTCGCTTAAATTGCAGAGAATTAAACTTTTTCCGCGATCCTCAATTCACTTACATTACATTGGTGTGATTTGGATAAATATTAGCAAATGGGGGGAAACAAACTCAAATCCATAGATGGATATCACTTTAATTCTAATCTCATTGCGGATTTTGAGGTAAACTATGCTTTTTAAATCTCCTCGAAGCAGGCGTTCAGAAAACCATAACAAATCCACAAATCGTATTTGGAGAAATGTTTAGCTGGAGAGAAAGGCCACCCATGTACACATGGTGTTAGCGCACCGTAAACTCACATTGAATATCTCCACCACCACTTCGTCAGCTGATAAGAGACGGAAAAAAGTGGATAATCGTCGAGTTCGCTGAAGCGTTAGACTTTTCGAAAAAGAATGAACGCCTGGTAAAGTGTGCATAGCTCAAAACCCACAAGTAGACTATGTGACGCTTTGATTTTTTTTATTTCGCAATCCATTCGTCCAATACTAGTAGTATTCAGTCTGATGAATTATTTATGCCATGCAGGATACTTATGAGATTTTGTGAACGATAACCATTTTTATTGCAAATGTTTGTAAAATTGTATTCATTCTTATTCATTGTTATCGTTTTAGATTTTCACAGCAATTCATCGATATTCGAGAAAATGAACGAAAACGTTCACAACGTGGTGTTATTTCAGTGCCACCCAAGTATCCAAAACTTGATGAGGAAAAATCAACAATGGTCAATGAAACCAATAACAATGGCAACGGAACAACAGCAACGAATGCCGTACGACCAGACAATGCTCCAACTGGTTTCAAGCCGGAACACCTACTCGAACTTCAGGAGAAAATCACTAAGGAAATTCTTAGCACGAAATTGGGTGAAAATGAAATGCATGAGCTACAGGTAAATCAAATTGCAAAATACAAAAGTCCGTTACCACCGTAACATTATAACACTTGTTCTACATTTTGCATCAGGCTAAAATCAATCACGAAATTTTGAATTCGAAAGTATTCAATTTGGAAAATCAAGGATATTATGGAAATCAAAAGAAGAATCAACGTGGTAGTTCAACACAACGGAATCGCTATAAAAGTAGTGCATCGGTGAAAGCCCGCAGCAAAATGAATATTCACAATAACGAAGCTGGACGACGGGTATGTATACACTCATTTTTTTATGATGCAGAAGAAAAAAATATAAACGATTTCGCTTGAATCATTTCTATAGGCAATGATCAATAAATCTCGTATTGTATGTAAATGCCATGGTGTGAGCGGATCGTGCAGTTTGATTACTTGCTGGCAACAATTAACATCAATTCGTGAAATTGGTGAGTACAAAAAAAAAAAGAAATTAAAATTGAATAAAATAAACTGATGCATTCGAATTTGGTTAACAGGTGATTATTTGCGTGAGAAATATGATGAAGCGACCCAGGTGAAATTGAATAAACGTGGATATTTACAAGTAAAAGATAATCGCTATCAAATGCCAACAGCTAATGATTTGGTTTATTTGGATGAGAGTCCGGATTGGTGCCGCAATACAAAGCAACTTCAATGGCCTGGTAATATTTTGGATCTGTTTTTTTTTTTTCTTTTGCTGAAATGAATGTGTGTGGAAAGTGAAATTAAATATTATTTCTTTCTTATTTTCGAATAGGCACACATAATCGGGTCTGCAATAAAACATCAACTGGTTTGGATGGTTGTGCAATTCTATGCTGTGGCCGTGGCTATAATACAAAGAAAATTGTGGTGAAAGAACGATGTAATTGCAAATTCCATTGGTGTTGTCACGTTAAATGCGAAACATGCACACGAGTTATCGAAGAACATACATGTAAATAAAAGAGCTATCATGGAAAAAACCAAACACACATTTTGCATGCCTTCTTCACTAAGCATGCATCGGAAAAAAGAAAGAAATATATAGTAAAGGAAAATCATATTTATAGCATTAAACAGTAAAGAGACAAAAAAAAAATTCGAACCGAAATATCCTAATCATAGATTCTTACACTTAGACATTTTTTTCACCCTTGTGAAGGAATAATTATTGAAAATTTCGATGGCTAACGGCAAAGAAGGATGGAATACATGTGCAAGAATCTATGATCTCAATATTCAAAAGAAATAAAAAAAGGGGGAAAGAGAAAACAAACCGAAAAACGTGATAAAGAAAACCAGAAAAATCATAATTTGTTGATCGATGAACAGTGTCGAATAAATGTGTTCAACAATAGATATGTTTTCAGAATAATATGCATGACATGTCAAGCTTTCTTAGATATTCATTTTCCTTTCCTGCCATAACGAAAACGCATTATGCGCAAAAACTATAAGGATTACAATGAAACTGCATTTAGAATCAATCACAATTACAAGAATATATTCAATAAAATAACAACGACAATCGTCACATAACTCGAAATATAAATAAAATACGATGTGTGTACATCAACGGAAATTCACTTAAAAACAGAATCGAATTGATGAATTTTTGCCTACTAAACGGGGCTTTTTGTTGTATTCATATTCATGCTTAAGGAACAAAAATGTCATCGTTCATATAAACACACGCACACACACACATACACACACTTCAATTTTTTCTCTTTCATTCTTTCCATTGTAGCTTTTATAAATATCGCCATCCATCGATTAAAATTAATTTATATACAAACAGCGAGGATCGCAAAATGTTTTTTGAATTAAGACGATACAATGTATCGGATACATACACAAAATAAAATGCATTAAATTATTGATAACAAAACTTATGTAGTAAATATAATATTGGAAACAGAATAAGAAACATTTTACAATAATTTTTTGATGTTTTAAATACACATTTTTTGATATGCAATTTACTGATGACCTACCGAAGAAAAATTCAATCAACAATTCGGTGATTTTTGTTTAATTTGAAACAAACTTCAAGTCTTCTTTTTTTTTTTTCTTTCAATTCAACAAGTAAAGTGTTTGTTAATGAAGTCATTGTCATTCATCAATTAGTTTTAAGACATTTTTAGCTTATATTTATTTAATATCCGTACGCATTTAGATTGTACTCGTATTAAACAATTCAAGTTTTAAATATATGGACGTCCAAATCGAAAAATTGTGTTTATTTTGAATCTATCCATTGACTCAAAATTGATGGTTTTCTTTAAATTGACGACATCGTCATTTGATCTTTACAATTCTGCATAAAAACTGCAATCTGTGGAAAATTCTTGGAACCGAATACGTTTTTTCATGTGCAATTGATAGCTCCTGAAAAAAAGAGAGAAAAAAGCATAAGTTGGTAAAACCATTCAACTGATTAGTTCGTTTATGATGTTGGGCTTGTTCAGTGGTGGGGTTTCTTTAAGTAGTAAAACTTACAACATACATTGAACGTAATTTTGTTTTCATTGCGAATTGGGATACAAGCATAAAATTTTCTAGAGCATTGTTGTTCTAGTTGTCATATTATAAATTCTTGACAGTACTGAGTAAGTGTTACACATTAATTGTGCAATCCATTTTCAATCTATACATAAATTTCACTTATTTTACTGGTGATTATAACGTTTAAACAGTGCCCGAAAGATTATGTCATACGTAGGTTGCTCCATAATTTTTTTAAAAATGGTACTTATAGTGTTGCCCGATGTAAACCATTGTCATATTCGTAAAGTTTGATGTTTTGGTATGTATTCGTGCCCTGAACCTTTTGTCGTACGAACGCTATTTGTATTGTTTACAGTGACTGGTAAACTGCGACTCAACAAAAAAATGAATTTTACACGTGAAGATTTTCGTAAAATGATTTACTACGATTTTCGAAGTAAATTATCTCAACAACAGTGTTTCGATCGACTTCATTTGGCCTTTGGCAATGAAGCACCAACCCTTCAGACAATTTATAACTGGTACCGAGAATTCCGTTGCGGTCGTAGTTCGCTCAAAGACGAGTTTCATACAGGTCGTCCAAAATCGGCTGTTGTGCCACAAAACATCGATGCTGTCAGAAAACTGATTATGGAAGATCGTCATGTGACCTACCGTGAGATTGAGGCATCTTTGGGCATTTCATCCCACAGCATACATACAATTTTGCATGAACATTTAGCCGTAAAAAAGATTTGCTCTCGTTGGATCCCACATAAATTGACCGATGAACAAAAAATGGCTCGTGTGAGTTGGTGTAAAGAAATGCTCAAGAAATTCAATCGTGGTGCTTCAAAAGACGTTAATAAAATCGTCACTGGTGACGAATCGTGGATATATGCCTATGAGCCCGAAACGAAACAGCAGTCGACTGTATGGGTCTTCCAAAATGAAGATAACCCAACGAAAGTTGTTCGAGCAAGAAGCACTTCGAAGCGAATGGTCGCCTGTTTTTTCGGGAGAAGTGGTCATGTGGCAACCGTTCCACTAGAGGATCGTAAGACCGTCAATTCTGATTGGTATACCACCATTTGTTTGCCCGAAGTGTTTGGTGAAATAAGAAAAAACAACCACCGTCGCAAAATAATTCTTCATCACGATAATGCGAGCTCTCACACATCTTTTCAAACTACTCGATTTTTGACCGGTCAAAACATCGAACTGATGGGTCATCCACCGTACAGTCCTGACCTGGCACCCAATGACTTTTTTTTGTTCCCAAGCGTGAAGAAAAAACTACGTGGTCAACGATTTTCGACACCAGAAGAAGCAGTTGAAGCGTTCAAAACACACGTTTTGGAGATATCAGTTTCGGAGTGGCACGAATGCTATGACAAATGGTTTCATCGAATGCAAAAGTGTATCGATCATCTCGGGGAATATTTTGAAAAACAATAAAACCATTTTCGACAAAAAACAACTGTGTTATATATGTTTTTAAAAAAAATTATGGAGCAACCCTCGTAATACATTCAGTTTGTAAATAAATAAATAAAGAAGCTTTTTCGCTTTCATGTAACATCGAAACTCCGTTTTACAATTCAATATATAAATCCATCAATCATATCGTTTAATTGTTTCTGTAATTGACATTGTAAAACTGATCATAAAAATTTATTCTTTTAATAGCGGCATGTAGGTTATCTTATCAAATTAACATTCGTTACTGCAATGTAGTGTAATGTTTATTTCCTAGCGTTTTTTTTTTTAAATTTATGACTTATGTACACAAAAGTTATTTATAGGATTCAGTCTCTTGACTTTTCCACATTTTTGAAATATTGATAATAGATAACAATTCTAAGTATTTTGAGAATTTATTGAAAGTTATTGGAATTCAGATGACATGTGAATAAAGACTATGAACTTTGGCTGAACTTTAAAAGAATTTGAACAGAAATGTGGCAAAATCTTCATACAACATTTTTGATTTTTGACCAAAAATTAGAAGTGAAACTCGATTAAATATAAGTTAATGGTTTGCTGGAATGATTTTTTATATGTAAGCGTACAGACAATATTCCTTTGCACAAAAAAAATCATCCGATACTATACGAAAAACAGCATAGTTTATTCTCTACTGTTTGGCGAAGATCCGCACAAAGAGGATCAAATAAATGACAAAAATATGTATGGCCATTAAATTTCTATAGCAAAAATCGTATGAACCTGAGTACCATACTATTTTTTGCATGTTTTTTTACTGTATATGTATAGTCATTTGAGCACTATTTATGAACTTTGAATCAAAACTTTTTTTATAGAAAATTATAAACAATGAACACAGGGTCGAAAAGAGACCACAAAACCATATAAATCCATAGGAAAATTCAATGTTTAATTAATTTCAATGAGAAGGTGAAGGAAACCTCTTATGCGCTGGTTAATCACCATATGCATATTGATGAGAAGAAATTATTCTTATAACTTTTCTAATTTTTTGAAATATTTTTCATAATTTATCACTTTATCGAGTCAATATATTATCGAGCCATATATGGAGATAAAAGTGTTTTTACGCATTAGTACATTTGTTCGCAGTCGTTTTGATGCATAGACAACCAAATTTATAGAAATAATTATCAAAAATCTACTCCATGCAAAACGCATACCTTTCTTTTAAATATAGTTCGTTTTTATTTAAAAATTGATTTTCATTTGATTTTTCTTTTTGCAGGTTACACCAAGTTTGGAAAACATTGCGGAAATAGACGCATTATCACTATCAGTGTGTATTGAATTATTTTGCAAATAAATGTCGTGTTGAATTGAAAAGTGATAGTGAAAAGTATATTCTTTCACAGCATGATTACGATGAATCATTATCAAGAATGACGTATAACATTCAACTTAACCAGTTCTTTTATATATATGCAAAACCGTACAAATCTGTCGTTTTATTCATTGAATTCAGTTCAGTCTATAGCTTCTCGTAAAAGGAAGAACACAAAATAATTCATTTGTGCGACACTTCATTTTGTTTTTACATTTTAAACTATAGTCAATTCGTTACACTCATCAAAAAAAAATTGTGTATTTTTTTATATCAGAAACATGACGGGTTGGCGTGTATTTTTGGTGCCAGTTATGTTGCTGATTGTTAGCGCTTTGAATTTTAATTATAATCATCCATATAAATTACAATGTGATTTCGACGATTCGGTCAATATAACGGACGGTGTTCGGCAAGCAGATGACAGTATTCTATTTGATAACATCAAATATGAAAAAGACACATACAAAATGATAAATTATACCTACACATGGGAATCAGAAGTGCAAACATTTCGCAAAACGGATGCTTACATCCGTGGTTGTATTCCAAAATCGAAGCCATTCATTCGTCTTTTCTGTCGCCGTGGCGTTGAAAATCGAAATTGTCCAAGCCATTCGGCAATTCGGAATCATCCACAGAAAATAATCGATGAAAATAATGAAGAAATTACGGTGACACTTGATGATCACTTCGGTTTCCAATTTGATGCTCCATGTAAAACCACATGCCCGGAAATTAATTATACACTATTTTATGTAATATGCATACATTTTGTATCCAAAAATACGATATTCTTCAATTGGAATTTTTCATTTAACATTTTAGAATGGCAATGTTTCAATTTCGGATGATGATTCATTGAATAAGAATCAATATAGTTTGGAATTTTACAAAAATAACGAAACTAATGAAATTATATCAGTTTTACATATGTGCTGCAAAGAAATGGACGGAATTATAATCCATCAAAGACATCAAAAAACCATAATCAATACAGGTATGTTTCCATCATTGGATGTGATTTGATTTTTATATCTGTGTACAATTGTACATCCTGTGTATAGGTATGGTGATTTCGGAAATTCTTCTTGCAATAACATTTCTCATTTACTATCGTGCAAAGAATTTGGATAGATTCTACGGAGATATGTTGTTATGTTATTTATCTGGGCCAGTGATTGCATTCGCATTGATTCTTTTTTCAAAATTTAATAAAGAAATTTCCACAAGTCAAATCTACGATGCACTCGGATATATCGTTTATTTCACTTTTGTTTCATCATTCATTTGGATAAGTGTGATTAGCTTTGATTTGTGGAAAAATCTTCGGTATGTCAAAATATCAAATCCAATAGATAGATTTGTCATTTTACATAAATTATCTTTCAATTTCATATCGAAATAGGTTATTCCACATCCACACATTTACCGTCATTTCGCGGAGAAAACAACTTTTCTCCTACATGTTTTATGCATATGGTTTAGCATTATTTTTTACAATATTCTTTCATATATATGATGGAAAAATATCCGACGCAGAGAAGATAGCATCGTGTTTTTTAGATGGTATAAATGTAATAATGAAAAAATAAGTATTTTTTAATTCGACGAACCATATATATTTCAGAGAGTTCAAGTTCAATGTGTTTCATTTATTACATTCCCATTTGGATTATTTTTATCGTATCGCAAGCTTTCTTTACATTGTCAAAAATCCAAATGCACAATTCAAGTGATAATGAACATCGCCAATCGAATAATCAGAAAATCAAGCGACAACTGAGCCGATTTAATGATGGAGACAAGTATGTGCGAAAAAAAAAACAAATTTTCTCAAACTAAAACTATAAATTAATATTATGAGGAACGAATACGGTCATTTGCATAAAAAATATTCGCTTAAACTATGAGATTCATTCTCATACTTTAAGATATGTCATTATCTCGTTATTTTACAGCGTATACTCTATTGGCAGTACTAATTCGAAATTTTAACTAATTGATACACACATTAAATTCAATATTGCAGTCCGACCAATAGTTTTGGGTATCGACCGTGAAAAAAGAAAACTCTTATTCATCGATGAATAATCAGTAAAACAATAAATTGTTCCTTTACAGTTTTGCATTATATTGGCGCTTACATATATTAATTTGTTCTGTATGGGTACTGGAGGGCGCTTCATTCATACTAGTGGCCATACCAAAAATTCAATTCTTTGCGAATTTCTTGTTTGCATTACAAGGACTTTCGACGTTCGTTATATTTGTGATGAATCGACATGTTTTGCATTTGATTCATAAAAGGTTTGTATCAGCGAAAAGCAATTATTTTCAATAATATATTTGCGAGAAAAGTCATCACTTTTTTATAATTTCAGTTGTCAAAATGTGGTCAGTAAAACACGTTCAATCGAAATAGAAAAAAACAATTCGGTTCGAGCTGTGACGTTGTGCGAAAAATACGAGACAAATACCAACAATCAACCGGACATCGTAGTTGAAAACACAAGCGTTTAATATATATTTGATGGAAAACCATGTAGTCAAGCGTACGCGTCTTGATATCACCTTTATTGGACTGCGCTTTATGTATATTCTACGCCGGCGGAATATATGATCACAGTTAAATTAATGTCAATTACAAATTTATTGATTGTAAACATTTGATATTATATTTTAATTTATGCACAAAAAATAAAGAAAAAAAATTGCCCAAATCTTAACTTCAATAAAACGATGTACAAAAAATCTGACTCATGTTATGTGATCAAATATTTTGTCAATTAAAATCAAAATAATATATTTACGGGCGGAAGTTGGCTTATCGTTATAATTGAAATTTAGTTTTGATTATTATTAAAAAAAAAAAAACAACCAATGACATCAGCATTCGAATTGAGTCTGGATATCGAAAAATAGAGAAACATACAAAACATTCGATTTTATTTTTGCATGGGAAATGTGTATGGAATTATTGTTTTGTATATGAAACAATGAATTCAACTCAAATACATTGTGCCGCAATAAATCCGATAAACAATAATTCCGATCGGAATTATGTGCTAGATCGCAGACAGTTAACCGATATCCGATATTCGCTTTCAAATACAATTGGACGTTCAAGGTTATTTGCAGAAAGTAAAAGAATTTTGCAGAAAGAAGGAACCGATTAATTCGAGAGAGAAAAAATCACTATCTACAACCGTTCACAATACATGTGTGACGTAGAATTTGTGGCAACGTGTTTGTTGCTTGAATTTGCTAATGATTTATTGGTTAAAGATGAATATTCTTGTTTTGTTGTTAACAAGACGGTTAACCTCCCGTCGGCAGTTGGTTTGTGGTGAATGTAGAAAATGGACTATTTTTCATATGTTCGACGAAGTAGCGCACATGCCAATCACTAAACACCGCAAACATTCCAAAAGGTATTTTTTTTGAATACATGTTAATGCTAATACAATACTGAACTATACTAAAAAAAAACTGAACATCTCATACAATGCAAAAAATATATATTCCATAAACGAACGAAACATTGGAGTTTGCATATTCATTTCTATTTTTTTTCCCTCTTTTATTCGTTCTTCGTCTTATTGCTTTACAGCTGCTTTATCAAAAAAGTGAAAGAGTGTCGCAAAAAAAATATAAATGAAAAATTCTAGAAAAATAAACTAAATTCAGATGATATATCGAAATTCATATGACCTTTAATGACTGGCAAATACTACTGAAAATATTTTGTGTGCTTGAATATTTTTCCATCACAGTTCTTCTATTGAAGTTAATTTATTTTTGGTCAACCAGTTTGTAAATCACAAATTCGGTTCGTCAAAATTACGATACGAGAAATGAGCTACCGAAACGTTTAAATACACAGTGAAGTCGATCACAAAAAAAAAACACCACAAAATCACAGGCAACATATTTCTCTATTCAGATAAGTGCAGGCTATTTGTCCACGTCATTATGTTGATGTGCTCTTTATAGCACGTGTGTGTGTGTGTGTGTTGCCTGAACAATAAGAGTCCCCTTTCGGAGGCGCACATTTTTGGCGCAAATTTCTAGAAGAATAACCGGAAACACTTTAATCCATATTCGCAGAAAAAAAATACTTTTATTCGCGCACTGCATTGACAGATATGTCTTTTTATTGGTCAGACATCATACATAGTTTTTGTTTTTTTTTTTTAATCAAAAGTGTATGAAAATAGATGAGCGTGTTGAAAGTAAAAAGAAAGTTTTGGTTCATTTGAATTAAAAACAAAATCGACACAGCATCGCGCCTTTTGGCTTCAAATATATTTTACCGTTCATGTTGGTAGATGTGAAACGAAGAGAAAGATAGAGAGAGAGAGAGCAAAGAGAGACGTTACGAAGCTAACACGGCGAGTGTAGCAAACGATCTTTGTGTACGCGCTCAACGTGTGTGCTATTCGAAAGAAACTAGCTATTTATATATTTTATATGCTATTTCGCAACATTCTGATTGCCAATCTTTTTTGCCGAAACGCCGGATTTGTTAATATCTATATTAAAGTCCCATTATGATTAAGAGAAATAATTGAATGCTCTAGAATAAAAACAACGTACAGAATGGTTGTTATATCAAAGCGGAACACAGCGTTTTTTTAAATATAGAATTGTTGTTGATGTAATGCATACAACAACAATTCTACAGGGTGGGCCAGAATAACTGCAATTTTTATATGTGCTCAGAAAAAGTATTGTTTTTTACTAAAATTGAATGAAAACTTTATTGGGATTTAGAATAGGGTCCAAAATTTTAAATTCATGTTTTGGTTTTGATTCTTCCTCCGTTTGCACGGATCACCAAACGCAAACGTCGTAAAAACGATTTGCACGCGGACCGCACCATTTCGATGGGAATATCGTTCCAAATCTTGACGATTTTCTTTTTAAATGCATTCAATTTTGTGGTTTTCGTAATCTTCAGATCATTTAACTTTGATTGCATGTAGCCCCACACAAAATAATCCAATGGATTCAAGTCTGGAGACGATGGCGGCCATTCGTCTTTATCAATAAAATCAGGCACATTTTCCTTTAACCACTGTTGCACTCTGTTTGCTCGATGTGACGGTGCCCCATCTTGTTGAAACACCCATGGTTCATTACCAAACACTTTTTTGGCGTGTGGCAACAATTTTTTGCGCAATATTTCTTCTTCATACACAGCTGCATTGATTTTAACGCCACTTTCAACGAAAACAAGGGGAAATTTGTGGTCGGCCGAAACGGCGCCCCAAACCATGACACTTGACACATTTTGATATCGTTCAACGACTAAATCATCTTCAGGAATGTCCTCAATTGTCGCTGCGTAAACACGATCATTTTGCGCATTGAGACTTGGCTGCAAAAGGAACAACTTCTCGTCGGAGAAAACGATGTTTGAGGTTGCGGCTCGGCTTAGCAGCTCTTTGCATTTTCGCTTTCTATCTTGCTTATTTTTTTTTGTCAAACCATGTTTTCGGGTTTTTTTGAATGGTTTCATTCCCAAATCTTCTCTCAACACTCGTCGCATTGAAGATCGACTGATATTGTGCTCACGAGCTAATATTCTGGCGCTTCTTTTGTTATTTCGAAGAATTTTCTTTCGTACCTTTTGGACCAGACCTTTTGTTCGTACAGATCTTTTTCTGCCCGTTTTTCGCTTCACATCGACAGTTCCACGCTCCTTGTATCGTTTTATGGTGCGATGAATAAAATTCAAACTGATATTGTCGATCTGAAGCTTCCGAAAAATATCAATTTGTCGCAAACCTTTTTTATGCAAATTCAAAACGAGTTGACGTTTCACATCCATTATTGTAGCAAAGTAAACAAGAACTGCGCAATAATGTGCATCATCACAGTGGATAACCAAAACATGAATAAACATAACGGTAAACAAAAGAGTGACTGGAAAGTTATTATAGTAGTATCTACATAGGTGCGAAAAAAAATTGCAGTTATTCTGGCCCACCCTGTATATTTAAAAAAACGCCGTGTTCCGCTTTGATATAACAACCACTCTGTACGTTGTTTTTATTCTAGAGCGTTCAATTTTTTATCACTGAAATGAAGCGAACTTTTTTTTCGCTCATGTACCTCTTTCGTATGGATAAATGTGGTTTCGCTATTGATGCGTTTCAAGTAAATTATTTAAGAATACATAATCGCCGTCATTTTTTTGTCGATTAATTAGTGTGGATTGTGAATGACTTACAAAAAAATGAACAGCAAAACGACCAATTTCAATGAAACCGATTATGAGACGTATCAAAATCTAGTTGATCAAAAAAATTCTGATTGTTTTGATTGATTCATAAACATTTCTCTTCTGCCTTTGTATCTGTTGAAATGAATGTTTGCACTACACACTATAAACTTGTAAGAACGTCGATGTGATGCTCAAAATGATTCTCCATCATAATTAATTCCACCGATTTTTTTTTGGAAATTTGTTTTTACGCATTGAAGCTATTGTTGGCATATAAGGCGGTGTCACGAAGCTAACTACGATTATTTTGCGCGAATATTTCTGTTCTGTATGAAATAAATGAGCGATAATGCGATTTAATATCAGTGTCAACGTCGTTTTTATGTTCCGTTCAATATAATTAAATCAAAAATGACTGTTCTTAATAAATGTTAGATCAAACATGTAATAGCCAGCCGAAAATATGATGCTTACGAATCGATGTTAATGTTTAAATTTGAAGATAGAATGAATTCAGATATAACACCATAAACCTAGCCATAAAAAGTTGTTGTTTGAGTTTTATTTGATTCATTCTTTAGTTACCTTCTTGCGATGATGATTTGTAAACCACATCTAAAATGTTGTGTTGTTTAAAATTATTTCATGAAAAAGATACGATTTCTGCCATCGATAAGGAACAATTTAATGTAAAACATTCTGATTACTAGATTGCATATATAGTTCGGTGTGAATTAATAATTGGTTGGGTTGGGTCAATATATCGACTGTGTTCGGAAAATATTTCGGATTGAATTTTCACCGATATTTGTAAGAAATTCTTGATTAAATTAAAAAATAAGTAATTCCTAAAAATTAAAACAAAAACAAATCTTTTCCTACATAGTGAATTTGAAAAGTATTGAAAAACAATTTATGAATTCAACGTTCATGTTGTTGAGTACACACTTTACTTAACATTTGAATTTTTACTTAATAATTGTCATTTCATTGGAATGAAGTGTCAAACTATATAACCAGAAAAATAGAACGACAAAAAAACAACAAAGTTGCATTGCATTCGCCGCTTTATATTCACTATATTTAATTGAAGGTAAGCATCTTGCGTTTATTTCTTGTTATTTTCATATTATTCATGATTGGAACCAAACTATTTGGATACTGTGTGACATTATCGGTAAGAATGAGAGAAAAACTTAATTGATTTTCGTAATGAGATGATATGGTCAAATGCATGTAAAACAGTACGATATTCCTAACAATGCCTAACAATATGCCAATATGTGGTCAACTTGCCGATTTTTAACATTAAAAAAATGTATGTGTCTCGAATGATCATTTTTTATTTCATGTTATCAAAAGACCGTCAAATCAGTCAGTATGGATCAAAAACAAAACGCCGACCAAAGTGGACCCAGTGGCAAGAGGATGAAAATGAATGATGAAGAGAATAATCCAGTTGAACGTGCTGTTGTTGCTGTAAACGAAGTACAACCACGAGCCGAAATTTTCAAACTTAACATCGATTGTTTCGAGGAAGTGTTCGACTATTTATCGCTGAGCGATTTGACAGCTATGGGGCAAACATGTAAACGGATGGAACGAATTGCGGGACATTGTTTCCAACTAAGCTATAAAGCCAAACCAGCAAACTTTTTTAATCGAAATAGTTTTTACCTCCCAATGGGCTCCGAGGTTAAGGTAGATTGTTTCAAAAATTTGTTACAAAAGATATACTATCATCGTCCATCTACGACATTTACGATTGGGCCCAGAAATGTTTCGCACAATGAGATGATGCAATTGGAAACTCAATTGACACACTCAACATCAATTAAAGAAATCGAAATTACCCGTTTTCGATTAACAATGGATCGGATTAACCAATTGAAAGTAGTTCTCAGTAAAATTGAACGCGTAATAATAAAAAGCTGTCGTTTCAATGAAATTGAATTGGACGCATTCATTGCTGCTTGCTCAAAGGTCAAATATTTATCCATAGGCAGAGAAACACAACACAAATGTCAATGGATGCGTCGAATCTACCCAACATTGGAACATATTGAATTTAAAAGGTTTGCTGCAAAAGATGTACCAGCATTAATAACATTCCTCGAGCTAAACACAACGATTAAGCAATTTTCTGTCGACATGGAACTACTGTTGTCAAAACAAAATTTATTCAAAAATTCAAGCATAAAATTGGGTACATTGGCGATTGATTGTGATGCAGAATATAAAGATGAATGCGATTTATATTGTCAGTTGCTAAATGAGCTTTACGATTCTGGATTTTATAAGAAATTGCATTTAACTTTTAATGGATTTAGGATTCGTCAAAAAGTTGTCGACAAATTAGCTTCGGTAAAAGGATTAGTGAAATTACGTGTCGAACAGCATGAAAATCGAATAAATTTTGGTGCTTTGAGTAACTTGGAAGAGCTATACATCAATAGCATTTTTTACATCGGAGATCATGTAAATCAAGATTTCCTCCCGAAATTGAAACGCATCGTTTCGGAAGTCTTTTCTGATGACATTTTACCATTTATTTGCCATTCAAGAAATTTGAACAAAATTAAAGTGAAGATATTTCAAAATGGGACATATTTCGATTTAAATAGAAAAATTGTCGATTTATTTGCGTTGAATAAAGAGCGTGAGAAATTGGCGGGAGCGCACAAGATCGCGATTTACGTCGAGGACGAAGTTTATTTGGCAACGAAATGGGCAATGAAACAGACTGACTTCAGTTTGATCCAAATGAAACGAGATACATCATACGATTGGATTTTTTAAGTTTGAATTTTCCTAAATGGATATTGATTCTTAAATCAATTTCTTAATTGAATAAAATAAAATTTACTAGATATGTCATATTTTCTGTGTTATTAGATCTACTGTGCTAATTCTGTTTCTAAACGTTACATAAATTTATTGTATTTAAGTAGAAATGTCATCAGAAAAACTATTGTATTTTCTTTTTCAGATGAATTCTATCGAATATTTTTTTATTAAATCGAAAATATATAGTTTAAAATACGACTTTTTATTTCAATTCGTTTTATCACATATCAGAGAATCAATTGAATAGAAAATAAATGCGATAGTTTTTTGTCAACATTTTTTTTTTCTACAGTTGGTGTCTTCAAAAGATGAGAAGAGAAATTTTTTCTGACAAATGATGAACACAACTTATTTCTGTCAACAAATACCGCTTTTAATAACAATGCATACTTGCATTTATTTTGTAAACGATTTTGTTTCAAATAAAAAGCTTTATTTGTGTATAAAAAAATTGTACTAAACAAATCAAAGACGGTGCAATAGAGCAAATATTGTCAATTGGTTGTATATTAAACTAATGAAAATGTAATTGTCATATAGATGAAAAGCGATCCGTCGATTCGTCCTTCGCGGCTTGTTTAAATCGATCGTCGATCATTTTATTTTTCAGCTCTTGAAATTGTAAATGATATTCTCTGGCCAATGTTTCTTGGCGAATTGCATTTTCATGCTCCTCTGTTAGGTTAGCCTGTTGGAAGATATCGATTCTCTTTTACTCTAAATTCTGAATGAATATTTAATTTATGTTTTATCTCACTTGTAACTCTTCAATGCGTGAACGTAGTTTATCGATTTCTCTCTTAAGACAATTTGAATTTGTGCGTTCATCATCCAAATCTTTTCTTGTTCCGGATAAAATTTGCTTTAGACTCTCAGTAACCGCTTTATCGCCGACCTTAAATAGTGACAATTGACTTCGTAGCTTTTCGATTTCACACTCGAGCTGAAATGGAACAGACATTTTGTTTACTTTTTTTTTTTTCTTACAAAAAATATGATTAAATTATCTTACATCTTGTCGAATTTCTGAATATTCGTGTATTTCAGCATTTAGTTTCTCAATTTCAATATCTAGTTTAGTGCATAGATCTCTCTCAGCGTCCAATTCCTTTTGGGCTCTATCGAGATCATGTTTGTATCGATCAATGTTCAACTCCATTTGATTGATTTTTTTCGTTAATTCACACACTCTCAAATTGGCTGCGTTGAGCTCGTCATCACGGGCACTCAATTGAATTTGAAGTTGTGCAACTTTCCCTTCCAATTCAATTGCGGTACGTCTGAAAACGAATTTTTAAAATCGTTTCAATTTTTAAATATACACAAATCCAATTGGATGTAATCTTACTTGGATTCTGCTGCTTCCAATTCCAAACTTTGATTAGTACCCTCCAATGCAACGGCATCGTGACTCAATGTTTTATACTGTTCAAGCATTCCATTTCGTTCTTCTTCCTTTCGATGAAGTAGCTCTTCGGCTCGTTGCACCTCTTGTACATATTGTTGCAATTGACGTTTTAGTCGATCGATCTCTTTTTCAGCATCATTTAGTTTCGTCTTCAATACCCGGTCGTTGCACTCTTCATCGGCCAATTCGTTTGTCAAACGACGATTTTCAAACATTAAATTGTCATTGATATGTTTCAATTGTTTGATTTGACGTCGCAAATCTTCCACTTCATTGGTGGTCTGTTGCAAAATGCTCTTGCTATGATCATTGTCCGAACTTATGTTGCTACAAATTAAAAAAATTCCAAAGTGAATTATGACGAACAAAAACTGCTTTCTTCATCAAATAAGCACACTTACTTTATCTGTCGATGGACTATTGCCAATTCCGCTTCAAGCTCAATAACACGCGTCTTCGTTGCATCCATTTTCGGTTCTAATTGATAAAGTTCCTCTGTTTTTGCATCCAAGTCATTCTGTACAAGTGTGAACATTTACATGATTAACATATTATTGTAATAATTATCGTTTACCTTGTATAAAACCAATTAGACAATAAACAATTCAAAGTCCACCAAAAACTTACAATTAATTTGTCCTTTTCAATGTTCAATGTGGCATTCAACGTTTTCAGTCTGGTAATTTCGGCGCGCAATTCACCGATCTCACGGAAACCATCAGTTCGGCTGCTGTCAACGACATTTAGACGTGATTCGGCCTGATTTCGTTGCCGTTCACAATGGCTTAATCGATTCTGGTGTTCAATCAACGCATTCTCAGTTTGTTCCTGCAAAACTTTCATGTGATTGCTTGACGTACGCAATTTCGCAATCTCTTCATTGAGTTCGGTCACTTGTGTATTCAACTGAACAATTTCATCTTTTAAAATTGTTACTGTTGACTTTGATGTTGCTTCCATTGTTTTTAGGCTTACATTTTCACTTTCAATTTGTCGAATTCTCTGCCGCAGTCGATCGATTTCACATTCATCTCGCGTGTATTGGTCACGTTGTGTTGTCGATGTTAAATGTAAACTATCGCGTAATTCATTGCATTCGGTCGTCAAACGGTCGATTGTGTCTTGTAATACTTTTTTCTCGCGTTCCAATCGATGCATGGCCGCCTCAACGGCTTTGCATGGCTGTGACGAGGGTTCATTTATCATATAATTTGTATCCCATTTTCTTCGTAAAGCTTTAATCTCATAGTCTTTTTCAATGAGTTGTTTGCGCAAGAGATTGATCTCAGTGTCGGCAAGTGGCTTGTTTAAAAGTTTCAAGTATTCTTGTTGATAAAAATCACGATCGATTTTCAATCGATTCACATCAATCGAACAGCTTTCATGTGAACCCGATGTCATGGTTCCCACATCTGTGGTGATCATTGTCTGCGATGTATTACACTTACATGCATCCGCCGATAATTTTCCCTTTAATTTTGCATTCTTTTTTGTCAGTTTTTCAACTTCCGTTTTTAGCTCACATTCTGAAAAATTAAATTCGATGAAAAAAATTGCCGATTTTATAAATTAAAAGAATGTACCTTTGTTTGTAACACTTTGCAGTTGTTCTTGTAAAAATTTAATTTGTATATTGGCTGCTTTGAGATCTCTTGTACCACCACTGCCACCAATGGCATCTATTTGTGATTCCAATTCCTGAATTCGTTTCTTTGAATCATTCAGCTTATGTTTCAGTGTTGTGTTTCGTTTGTATAGAGCTTCGAGGGATACATTTGCCTCGGTTTCAACACTTAATGCAACGTCTTTGATTTCATTTAACTCTTTGGCCAATTTCTCATTTTGCTCTTTTAATAGCGTGACTTCGTCGTGTGCATGCGATTGAGCCTTAATCGCTTGTTCATAATTTGCTTCGATTTCTGATTTCTGACGTTGTAACCGTTGAATATCCTCGGCCAGTGAACTAATGTCACGGTAACAACAATCTTTTGCCAACGCTGATATTGGCCGACCACCAGCTAGCAATTGATTTAGTCGACTTATTTCACGATTACGACTTTCAAGCTAAAATGTGACAGATTTTTTATGTTAATATTATCGTTTTGTGTGATTTTCTTCTGAAAGAAATTTTATAATCAACTCACCTGTGACTTGTACAATTCCATTAGTTCCAAATGTGTTTTGACTTTGTTCGCTTCTTGTTCGGCATACAATCGTGCATACATATCATCTTTTTCCGATTGGCATGTACATTTCGATTTTCCATCCATATTCTCAATCGATTTTAATGTTGATGGTAAAAATTCACCCGATCGCACCGTTGAAATAAATGGTTTTCGCTTTTGATTCAGTAAATCATTGCGACTTTTTCGCTGTTTTGGATCTAATACGTCAATTTTTGCATTCAATTCAGCGCATTGTTGATTCAATTCACGATTCACATATTCTAAATTTCGAATCGATTTATTTAATTCGAATATTTTCGTCTGATATATGTCACGCTGACGAATCATATCCAAGTGCAGCGAATTACATTCGGCCAACAATTTTGAATTGTCACATTTATACGGTTCGACGCCGAGACTCCATGCCGTTTTCTCCTGAATTTAATAAAAAAAGGATAAAAAAATTAAAAATTCGTAACTCATGAACTTGATTGTCAAATGTTTTCATCAACATTAAAAAAAAAAAAAAATGGTAAACATGAATTATCAATGGAAACTGAATGTTTACCTTTTCCAAGCTTGAAATCGTTTTTCTGGCATCTTTTAAATTTTTATTCGTTAAAATGAGATCATCAAATAGCGCCGACACGATAGCCAACGAACCGAATGGAAGTGGTTGCGTAAAACCTAAATTATTGAGTTTATCACGCAATAGCGAATGCCGTTCATTAATATCCATCATCGATTTGTTTGCGTCCAAGCCAGTTTTACACGTAAATAACTATTTTACACCAAATATTCAAACAAAACTCAACAAAATGCACATGATTAATTATTTTCCAAACAAATAACACCGTTTCAAAGTTAAAAACAAAATCAAAACTGTTTCAATCAATTTAAAAAGCAGGAAAACAATTTTAAACAGAAAAATTCAACTTCAAATTCGATATGTGTTTGAAGCGGTTTTGCTGTTGAACCAAACAAAATATGACGTTAAATTCAACCAATTTCAATCGGTTGAGGAATGTTACGTGCAATGCCATCTGGTGTAATATCGGGGAAAATCTGAAAAAAGAGACTTTTTTCCATTCGTCAACAATTTCCAATTTTTTTTTTTTTTTTTTTTTTTTTTGAAATTTTTCATTCGATCCATTTTTGCTTTCTTCAGTGCTTTTTTTGCTTTTCTCTGATTACTTCCACAATGATTATTTCAGTAATTCGAGCGGAATGCGCTCCGCCAAGTGACAGTTTCATGCAACCTGCCAACTGTCAAGCGAGAAAATCGATGAACGAAAAAACGAATACACAGTGTCTGTCACACACGCAATTCCATTGAATAAGTGCAGAAATTTTTGAAGCGCTCCGAAAAACTCTTCAAATCAAAAATGAATCGGCTAGTTGCTGCTCGACCAATTCTTCGGACAATGATCCAATCAAACAGTAAGTAATATGTAAAATTGAAATGTAAACAAAAAAAATCATCAAAAACAAGAACGGATTTCGTTTGGAAAATGTAAGAATCTAACCATTAAATTTTGTATGACATTACATAATAACATGGTTTGACATTTCCTCCAAACTTCTTTAATCTCGGCTGATTTGTTCAATTTAAAATTAAATCCAGCTGTATTCAATTCAAATGCCATAAAACAATAGATTTTTTGTTTTAAATTAGTTGCTCCAGTCCAAAAGCGTTTTTCATCAAAAGACATCGGACCACCAGCTAGCTTCAATCAACTTCCACAACCAGAAGGTGATTGGACTGACAATCACAGTAAGAAACAAACAAAATACAATGGTATTTTGGCTGGTGCGGCTCTTTTCTTTGCTGCCACTTTTGGATTCGTAAGTTCCGAACAGTCCAATCTGTTCAATAAGAGCAGAGCAATGCATATTTTTATTAACCTTATCAATTTTGTACATCGTTTTCAGATGAAGCATTCGGGAATTATATACTTCAATGCTACGCTACCAGAAACTTACGAATAAATTATTCAAATCACAACACCAATAGCCCAAATTAGTTGAACATACAGTCAGTGTGTAAGAAATTGAAATAAGACAAAGAAGAAATAAAAATAAAAAAAATGGTCTGTACATTTGTGTAGTTGTGTCATCATCATTGACCACAAATTAACGGAATGTATAGCAACCAATTCTCAGTTAAAATCCATTTGAGACATAAATCCCGCATATACAATTTATAATTTGTGGATATAAATGAAAATAAAATAAACGAAAAAAAACCAACAAAAAAACTTATAATCAAATGAAACGCATTTTATTTTCGTATGAATTTTTCAAATTTGCATTATTATTATTATTTTTTTGTCTTCTGTTTTATACACTTTTACTGGTTCATTCGATTTATTGACCCATTCTTTGGGGTTGAGTAGAGGTGAATGCCTACGATTGATGTCTTTATCTTTATACAATTGCACATCACTAAAAAAAATTTAGTCTGTTTTCATTGTTTTTTTTTTTCCTCTTTTTATCGGATAAATTAGAATCTTTTTCTGTTTTTGTTGTTGTTTTCTATGGTAGTAAGGTAAATTGTCTATTGCTTTGCTCTATCAAATCATTCATACACAGACTCGGTGCTAAATGAGTGTGCTTTGTATATATTCATTTTGTGTGTGAATTTCACGTCGTTTCAATGGAATTTTGTTTTTTTTTTTTTTTTTTTTTTAATCAATAATCGAAACCACACGATCAAGTGCGTATTATTTTCGTATTGGATATAATCATTTGATAACCGTAGACTAAAATTTTCATCGACTAGGTTTTTGTGAATGTTCTTATTCTATCCTATCGAATTCGTTGTTTATCCGACTTTTTTTTTGTTTGTTCGTTTATTTTCTAACCGATCGAAATCTATTTCGAAAGACATGCTAATCGCACTACAGATCGCTTTAATTCACTTTGTATTCAGTGCTTTATGTGTGTGTGTGTGTATGTTTCTTGTTTAAAATAATATTTCGTTATTAATTTAAACCGGCAATGTCAAGCAATCGAAGAAAATATTTCATGGAATCTGCCATTTGACTTTTTTTTAAAAACGTCTATCTAAAAAAAGGAATCCGAGCAAAAATGATATGCACCAAATTTTTGTGCATTAAATCTATGTAGATAAACCAATCTATTCGATATCACCGTAGCCGATTTAAATGATGCAGAAAACAGTACATGTTTTTCATACAAAAACAAAAAAATTAAAGAACGGGATTTGGAGAATATCACGATCTCAAGAAAAAAAACCCAAATTGCAAAAATGTTTGTTTTTGATAAATATTTGTGTTTTTCATTTCATACATACATAAAAATTTATTGTTTCCAATTCCAATTTGTTACTGAATACTTAATATTTGTGTGTATATGTGTACTTGTGTCATATTTTTTTTGTGTATTTCAAACAATTTAAATTCCTATTTTTTTCGTTTCTTTTCAAATAAATATTTTGCTAGAATTGGTTTTTGTTATTGTTTTACTCCACTTGTTTTTTTTTTTTTTAAATAGTTGTTATTATATATTCTCAATATGTTTTTTTGAGAAATTGGAACAGAGTACAGCCGTTTGGCCCAGAGACTGTTTCTCGGAGGAGCTGTACGTGAAGAAGAGCGCTCTGTGGTGCCAAAAAACAAAAAAATAATAATTAAAATTGTAGATATTTTTTTAACTTATAATATTTTGCTTCGCACTGAAGAGGAGCTGTGGCTCCTTAAAGCATTCCTCCTCATGTATGCTCTGAGAAACGGTCTCTGGTAAGGATGCATTCAGAGAGAAATAATTGAATGTTAAGAATGAGGGGCACTGCCTTTGCTTTTTCTACGGAATCGCCATATTTTCAGCCCAGCACAGCACGTTTTAGATTGTATTCCAATGAAAAATGTGTATGTGGATCACAAAATATGCACAGTTATTGCGTCAAAACGCCCTTTTGCATGCATTACGAAAACAATCATCAATTTAAATCGAAGCATTCGAAACGGTTGCGCACACATTGTGCGGCACAATATCATTTTTTTTCTTTTGGTTTACCATATCAAAGAAAAAGTTGTGAGCGCTTAATAAAATCCGAATTCGGGGGGAAAAAACCTCAATTAATACGCTTTCTGTGCGACCGCTTCGATTTTGCATTCAAGTCATTTCTCTCTGTGAAATCGATTGATAAATTATTCTTGACAATTTTTTTTTGTTTTGAGAAAAGAAATACAAATGACTGTTTAAAAATGTGAATGTCGCCGATACGCACACAGATTTTGTCTTAATTTATATGTTTGGCAGAGACAAAAATACAGACCAAAACGAAAAAGTTTAGACAAAACACATTGAAGATCCGTGTGCGTGGATGCATGTCGATCGATAATTTTTTCTCTAAATAAGCGACGTTTTAACAAAACATGGCTTTAAAAAATCATTGCAAATCGAATTCAACGTGCCAAAAATGGTCTCGATGGCTCATGTGGTTCTCGCAATTTGAGCAGAGATACTTTGAAATGAATTGGTTGTTGTCTTGGAAAGAAAAAATTATCGATGACATTAAATCGATCTAACTATATTGTTTATGTGCATGAATTTCAGTTGTTTTTCTCATTTTCATTGCTATAAATTATTTTGAATTTTTTCGAGGAAAAAATAAACAAAATGGTATGTTGTCTGTGACGATGTGGATGTTTATTAAACTCATTTGTATCGACTAATTTCTGTTGTTATTGTTATTGTGGGGGGAATTTGTGTGTGGTTGAAGTCACAAGGTGCTGTTGATGTCGCGATGATCTTTCTTTCTCGCATTTGATGGGATGTGCTAAAGCTTATTTTGTTAACATTTTGTGTTTGTAATTACTTGCTTTTCTCTTGATGTATGAGTTGTTTTTCTCGTGTATGCTCATGTTGTGTATTTTGAGATATAATTTCTTTTTTTAAATTGGAAGTTGTGTGTTGTTTCAAAAAGACTAAAAGCGACAAAAATCATATCGAAATTTGAATGATTTTTTACACCTTTTGCATATATATATATATATATATATTTTTTTTTTTGTTATGTCAAAAGAAAAGCGTTTTTGATTTTTTTATTATTTTTTTTTCTTTGTTTTAGTTTTTCAATTTTGCTAATTATTGACGCAATTTTCAGTTTGTGTGTTTGCATGCGCCCCCCATTCATCCTAGATGACTTCATTAGCGTATTACGAAAGATATCGGTATTGATTTATATGATTATGTTTATAAATTGTTGTTGATGTGGTTTTGTTGTTGTTGTTGGATTTGAAAAGTTGGTTTTTGCAGTAAAGCGTTCACAATTTAGTAGCCCTCCAAATCGAAGTCCTCGTTATCAATGTCATCCAGCTGCATACTTTGGAAATCTACCTTATAGCGTAAGCATCCTGAAATACACGAGAAAAACGAATGAAATTAGTTATTTAACTAAAGGCATGGTTTCGGAATGAAAAAAAAAAACACAACTAAATGAAATTTGTCGAAACAACTACTGGCAAAATAAGTTAAACAAAGACCACTAGAACATTAGAACTGTGACAAATGAATGGAAAACTTTTCATCGAACAGTTCCATTGAGAATTGAAGTGCACTCGATGAAAAGATTTTCTATTCATCAATTTGTCGTATTGTTACAATAAAATGTTCAATTTTCAAACAACGTGAACATACTACAATAAAAGAAATAATATCAATCGAACAACAAAAGAATTTATATTAAGAAATATTTTTTTTTGTCATTTCGCCAATTCTGGCATTATGCGCCAATATTTATATACATATGGGTCAAAACCAAAGAATTAACATGCCAACTATACTCCATCATATATGATGAAAAACACTAACTCAACTACGAATTCAACAAAAAAAATATGTATAATTGTATACGTTTCAAATGAAACTTCAATGGCAAAACGAAAAGACAACAAGAAAATGGGTCATTTGTTGAAAATACCTTAAACATATGATGGTAAGAGTTAGGCTTGTCTGTGTTAGGGGTTATTTTAAGCTTTTACGAAAATGTGCTGGAATGTCGTGATAAGTAAATGTCCCTGGAGTTTGCTTTTAATTTAATTTTTTTTGCTCTTTTTCAGTTACTGTTCCGATCGATTTAAAATGTTTTTTTTTTATTTAAAATACTAAGCATTTAAAATGAACGGTTTTTTAAATTTGTTGAAAATTAGAATTTTTTTATATGATTCTTTTGTTTATTTGATTTCCAATTGCAATGTCGTTTGTTTACTCCAAATAACTAAATCGTTTTATGTGATGCTCAACGCTTGAAATGAAACGCGCACGAAAATAAAATTGATAAATGCCGGTTCTAGTTGAGTCTTTCGAGATTGATTTTTTCTTGGATTTTTACCGTTGCGAAAGTTTACCATGTTGGTTTTAATCTAGGTTTTAATATATTTACAAAATCGGTCGAATTTTTGTGTTCTTTAGTTTCTGTGTATTATTTCAATTATTTAAATTGTTTTTGTGTGTGTGTGTGTCAATGTGTCAGGGTCATATAATTTCAAATGATTCGCTATAGTATTTACTGCGGGCGCACACATTTACAAACATTTAATCAATCATGACACAATTAGCTGATGAACTTAATATTCTCTATTTACTGTTAGTTTTTAGAGGTTTTTCTTATTCGACTCCTTCCTTCTGTTGAACATTTATACGGATAACAGCATCTAGACTTTTCTTTTTTATTTTGTTAAATTAATGTCAATTGTGATTATGATAAATTCATTTATGCTTTGTTTCAAAATTAGTAATAATTTGTAAAATTTGTCGTTTTCTATTCTTAAAGATGTTTTTTTTGTCTGTTATGGGAGATTCGTTTTTGTTCAATCCACGAATAAAAGAGCAACAAATCCGATCAGTTGATGAGTATTTTAAAGGGTTTTTTTTTTGTTTAGTTTCAGTTTTAGATTGGTCTATTTGGTTTTGTTAATGAATTTTTATTTAGTAGTCGTCTAAATCAACGTCGTCCAGTAACTCGTCAGCTTGTAGCGACTGAAAGTCAACTTTGTAGCGAAGAATTCCTAAATTTATATGTTTTTTTTTTATTTAGCACGAGATTTAAATGTTAAAAGAGATTATTTTTTTTTGGTGGGCGAGCATTTAAACATAAACAGATGAAAGGTGATTTAACCATGGGGTATTAGTTTGTAGAGAGCCGTAACCATCAGTTGAGAACGAGTGAGAGCATGAGATATACGAAAAATAATTTGATTAGTAAGAAAATGTTGGGTATATGCAATTTTTGTTTATTTCTTTGTTCATCTCAATCGATTTTAATTGAGATTAATGAACAGTCATGGCGAGTATACGATTTGATAAAATGAAAAGAAAAAAATGAAAAATGTCCATTGTAATACGAACCTCCGATTCCACCAAATCCTCGCACAAATTGACTTCCCTCTTGGGATTTGTCGGTAATGATTTCCAAGGTAGCACCAAAGCTTTTGTAATTGTTTGCCAACCATTCCAAAAGCGGTTGTGATTCAACTAATTCCATTTCGACGCCACTCTAAGGTTATCAAAGAGAAGAAGAATAAACATATCAAATTGTTTCTCTATTGGTTTGTGTGATCATCGATTGTAAACCGTACCTCTTTGTCGGTGAAATGACTCTTGTCTTTTTCTTGTTCCGGTGTCAGATGCAAAACTGTTGTTGTTGTCGAGTTTGCGTGATTTTTCAATACGTAACGTTGAATGTCTAAGTTTTCCCAGCAAATCAATGTTTCCACTGAACCCAATTCTAATGCTCGCAACGTATCCTCAACACCAAAACAGTATTTTCCAGTATCCTAAACCGGAGAGAACAAAACCGTTATTGATTGAAATCGCATAAGAAAAGAAAATTAATCAAAATGAATGAAACAAACCTGCGAAATTTCATCGAAGTAACGGCCAATCAATTTCTTTTCTTGAATAAATTTAACATTTTGCAATGATTCAGCTGCTAATTCAATAGCCTGATTAAAACCGTTTTCACCGCCATACGAAACATCGACCAATTTGATAATTTTCGATTGCAATCTCTGTTATCAATGTAAAATATATGTTTTCGTTTAAAATTTGTATTTTATTGGCATGATTTATTATGATTTTTTTTTTTACTTACAGGATCAAACATGTCGGATTGACTCAGTTCAGTTTTAAAATCAGCACTACCGGCCAATATAAGACCAGCAATATTCGGTTTATCATTTGTAATAAACAATTGTGTTGCAACTTCGGCCACTTTACGTACGTAATTATGCCGTTTTTCCATACGTAAACGTGCAAAACGTAACGCCGATTGACCACCACGACCGTGTTTTTTCGGTAAATCAACTGTAAACTTGTGCAATACTTCGCGTGTATTCCCTTGCAGTGTACCAAATAGTGCGCCATTACCATCCATCACAATAAAACCGAATTTATTGTCATCAGCCAGTAATGCGGTGAGTGCTTCCGTGTGAAATTTATTATCGCATAGATATAACGAGGTATTAATTGGTTTGAATGGTTCGAAATCAATGTTGACTTTTTTCTCTTTGCCTTCTTCGGTTACAATTGTCCCGCAATAAATAACTAGACCATTCGGAGGCACTTTGGTGTATAGTTTTAGTCGATGTTGTACCGATGTTATGGCACCAAGCACAGATAAACGATTTACACGTGACTTTATGTTCGACGCAGTTCCAAATTCATCGGCCAACATTTTGCTAACACGTGAAATTTGATCCTTCGGTGGAATGATGAGCGATATCATACTGGTGCCATTTCTATGGAATAAAAAATAAAAATATGAAATAATGTTTCATAAAATGTGTCTGTTTTTCACTTTTGTGACATATTTTCATATGCATGAGACGCATGCAATAAATTCGGTGAAATTTTGAGGTTATGTCCGTTGTTGATTGTTCGCCAACATAATCGAATGCGCATTCATGTGATTTTTTTTTATCGTTGGTTTTGCAAGATTATCCGTTTGTGTATTCATTTGTATAAAATACGACAAACATTTTTTTTCACTAGGATGTAATTCGATTGAATTATTGAATGACTTATTGAAGGACAACCTTGATTCGCGGTCTAATTTTACTGCATTGTGAATGAAACCGACGAGAAAAAAAAGGAAACGAATAAGCAGCAAATATGGCACAGTATGAAAAACGGACGCCAGCTCTGTGTGTGTGTGTGTGTGTGTGTGTCTGTCTCGAAATGACATTTTCAATTTTCTCAACAACATACGAATAATTTCTGTAATGCGCAAATTTTAACGGTTGGCAATCAAAACCACATACTAATTCATTCCATTCAATTTGAAAATGGGCTCATTGTGACAATAAAATTTGCTGCATTCACAAATTTTATATATGTTACATTCAAACAATTCTTCGCCAAACTTACCCTCGAGCCATTTCTAAACTTTTAATAAGTTTTTTGATTTTCCAGATCTCGACATTTCTATCAGCTGATGTTTCTTCGCCCGACATTTTGATGTGGTTACTTGATTATACGATTTAAATTTCAAAATGTAACTAAAATAAAATAAAAAACAAAATTGCTTTCGCTTTTTCTTTCTATTGTATCTGCACAAATCACTGCTGTTGTTCGTGTATATTTCGCCACGAGAATCTTGTCCTGTTTTCGGTTTTTTAAATTCTTCTGAGTTGTTCACTTCTTATATGGTTGTTTGTTTCACCACCGAACGAAAAAAAAAAATCTCGCCGTTTCTGCTTGATTGCAGTTCAGCGCGCTCCGCTTCGTTCACTTATCGTTCAAATGTAAAAGGGCTCTCTGTATTGAAAAAAGAGAATAAAATGAGTCTTAGTCAGTTATGTTATGATATATATATACGTAATATGATGAAATTCGGTGAATGCATCTCATTATTATTGGCAGTGATGCGATGAGCAAACAACCAACTATACAACGTGCGATAGATTGCCGACCGATTGACTAACTGAATGTATGATGCAGAAATTGTAATGATGCAAACGAAAAATGTAATCCCAAATGGTACAAAACGAAAATAACAGATATTGTTTATTGTTTTTGCATCGAATTGGAATCGATGACGACATCTGTTGTTTGGTCACATTATTGCATGTATCACCAAGCAGTTGCAATCAACTTCCATCGAACATTTTACAAGTAAACAGATGTACACGATCATATCATTCATAAAATACCAACCGAAAGTGAAATAATGTGCATTCTTATATATACAGACATAAATTTCAAAGAAGAAAATTTGTGCGTGTGTGGAGAAGAGAGCCGCATGTAAGCGAGTAATGCATGCGTAGTAGCATAAAGATGTTGGCGTTTATGGACACAATCTATGTGCGCTTTTAATTGATAAATGTCACAGTTTTGATACAAAGTTGCCAAATCGAATCAGACGATTATAAATTTAATTTGTTCGTATCGCTTTTTGCCGTCAGTATGCATTCCAATTTCGAGAGAGTGATGAATCATTTACCGATCTTTCATGTTTTAATGAAATTTCGATGAAAATTATCGATGTTTCATGAATATATATATAAAAAAAACGCCAAAAAGATTTGATAAAACGTTTCAAAATAAGGTCGAAAAAACGTGTTCGTATTTCTGTATATAAAATATTCCGCATCTATGCGTCAATATACGTGAAGGGAATGAAGAAAATTAAAAAAAAAAAACAATGAAACCGATTTTTTCCAACCAAATCCAGTTTGATTCGAAAATTTCGCAGACATTACACTCTCTTTTGTTAGCACATTCTCGGATCGACGTCTTTCAAGTATTTTTCTCGCTCTCAAATTGCGAACGTACTATGTATTTTTCACTCTGTCACTCTACCGTTCGATCAAATGCTTTTGTCTCTATATTTCACTATAGTTCACGCGTGGCGTTACGGTAATGATAATCTAAGTTTCTCTCTCGCGCGCGGCTACACATGTGTGTGCTAAATACATGAAATTGTTACTCGCTTTTCGATATATTTGCCGTCTATTTTACTGTTTGTTCGGCAAGAGAGGGAGAGATAGAGAGAGAAACGAGAGACAGACAATTCGAATCTATGTTAATCGAAAGGTGATTTCTTTGCCTGATCGCCACACCACACATTTTACAAGTACAGTTTTGTACTCGATTCTTTTAAAAAATATGTCTGTACACACACTCACACAACGCCAAAAAGGTTTAGTTCGATTTCATTTGAAATAAAAAGAATAAAAAAATGTGCGAATAAAAACGGTCATCATGGTGTTGCCAACACTTCAATGAAAACAGAAAGTCTTCGAAGACTATAACTGAAAACGTCACACGAACACAAGACACATTGTCATAACTGATGACGAATTAATCCAATGCATTTTCTCATTAATCGTTCATTTATCAACACACGCACCTATATATATAACCAATTGCACCAATGGAATGTCATATCGAACAGCTCTATATTCGTTTACTTCACTTCGTTGACAACATTTCAGTATCAAATGATACAAATCACACTCTCAAATTACACAGCACTCAATGAAATTCTTACATTCCACGGCCGAAAAAAAACATTGAAGGCGGACAAAATGAACAACAACTAACAAACAATATTATTAAAATGTTGCAAATCCACCAGAATGAAAACGCCGAACGAATGAATGAAAAAATATAAAACGGCAATTTTTTTGTTGGAAATGGCACACACGGACCACGGATGGAACTGTTCGATTTGTTGAATACAAAGAAGAAACTGTCGTGTCTAAATTATTTATCAATTATATATCGCACCACAGGAGAGAGAGGAAAAAAAACGTAACGAACAGGGAAAATATGTGTTTGATGAACAGTGGAAAAGTCCGTATTTTGCCTCGTTTTTTCTGTATTTTTCCTCCGATCTGTTGCTAGTTCCACCAGTATCAGTGCCGTTTCGTTTTTTTTTTTTAATTCTCTTACTTTTTGTGTGTATAAAATAAAATGAAATAAAATATACGAAACGGTGATATCGCACACTATGGTTTGTGACTGCGTGTCCACCTTTAGTGACGACGTTTTTACACACTTATTAGGAAGATATTCTCTGTTTTGTGTAGTTTACTCTGACAAAAAAAGCACTCACTCACTGTAGCCACACACATAAGGGGGATAATTCACATGCATTCAATTTTGATTACATGTACTGTGTGTCTTTCTCTTATTCGATTCGTTTGTGTGTTGAAATCGCACACGATATATATATATATATATATATACTTTTGAGACATCCAATGTTTCTTCAACACAAAAAAAATCGTGTGTCCGTTGTGTTGGTATCTCTTTTGTGCGCTTGTTTGATGTCTTCGTTTTACTTTAGACACATTCAGTTGTGTTGTTTTTTTCTCCGTTTTATTCTTCGTTTTTCGTTGCAATGTGTCTCTTTGTGCTTTCACTCTGTCTTCTTCTTTTTGGATTTTCCGCGTTTTTTTTCTTCTCTCTACTCTCTTCACATGTATGTGTGTTTGTCGTCAGTGTTCACTTGTGCGCCAATGTGCGATGTTCGCCACTCTCGCTCAAATATTCGCGGTAATGGTCTACACATCATACATAATTTTCTCTGTTCTATATGGCAGTGGCACAATTCTTTCTTCCCTTTTTTCATGTATTCCCTTCACTTATACAGTTACACGATGCGTAAATGTTGGCTCTCTATCGCGTTTTTTCTCTAACTCTTCTTATTTCTGCGTGTGCGTATATGTGTGTATGTATGTGTGAGAGAGTGTGAGTGTATGTGTATCAATGTTTTTGCATGCTCTTACCATTCACTGAGAAATAGAGACAAATTTCGATTATAAGCGTAATCAATCCGTACTCTTTACACCGTTGCTCTGTTGTGTTGTCCCTTTCTTTGTCACACCGATTTGTTTGCCGTTCACGCTTGAACCCCACACATACACATACATGTACGGAGACCAACGAAAAATTCCACAAACCACCACACCAATATATAAAAAAAAATATATACTAATTCACGACAAACTTGTATTTCACGCCAATTCTTTGTAATTGCAATCCACTGCAAATCGTTTAAAAAATGGTGGAAAAAAATGTGCACATGAATTGAATATTGGGAGTAAAAAATCACAAATTCACCTTACAACAATTCGTTTTCGAATTTCTTTTCTTTTTTTGGTTCTTCTCTTCTTTCTACACTTAATACATGAGGAGATTTTTCAAACACAATGTTCATTCATGTGCCCATGTGTGCCGAATGAAAGATTTTTCCACTGTTTGATTGACGATTAATACATACACACACCCGTATCCACGATACATGTATATGTATCGGAACGAGACAAAGTCATGCCGAGAATCTCTTTCTCTTCATCGTCGTGGAGACGTGTATGCAGAGTGTTGCCATCGTTTCATTGTGTAGACAGAGACCTCGGGTGTGTGCCGAATGATGACGAATAAATTTTGCACACACAATTCCATGAAGGCCTTAGCAGCCGCATTGAATACATCACTACGTTTTTTTTCGTGTATGTGTAACATAAAAAAAAATGAAACGTTTTACGTCAAATCGCGATTTAATTCGGCGAAATATTACCATCTGAGGTTCAGCTGTTTGACAATTTGCAGCGAATTCAAATATTTGATTAATTTTTCATATTTGATTTTCTTTCAGTCAGTAAATTGTGACCGTGTGCTAGAACTTCACATTTTCCAACAGATTTTTTTTTTTTTTTTTTTTTCATTTTTTTTCTTTTGAACTGAAAATCTGAAATGTATCGTCTATTGAACGGTTGAACGTTCAAATTTTGCGCCATTTTTGTTTACATTGGTGGTGGTCGTCAATCCAACGTTTGACATTTGTTCACTGTCAGTTCTTACAGGCGAACATACTAAAATACACTCGTCAATGAATTTAGTGTATCAAATTTTGTGAGATTTTTTTTTAAATTGCTGTTAAAACCGTCGATTTGAAAAATCGAATTGCCAAAAAACGATGATTTTGAATTTTCAGTGGAAATAAAATAACAATTTTATGAATGCTTAAGAATTGGTCACATTTTAAATAGAGAATCGGTGACAAAAGCTGCATACATTTCTACGGCGTACCACATAACCTCAAACAAAATTCCAATCAAAACATCACACAAACGTTTAAATTTTATTTTCGATTCAGAAACTAAAAAAAGCAGTAAATTTTCGTGTTTTGTTTGGAAATAGTTGAAAATTTAATTAAAATGTCGCATTTGACGCAACGTGATATTGAATCGTTGCGACCTGAATTGGAACGAATCGTTGCCGAAAAAGTGTCCGATAATCATTCTGATGTTGTGTCAACGCTGGAAAAATGTTTATACAGTGGTTACGATCGAAAGCGAGCTACCGAAAAACTAAGTCATTGGATTGATAGCAAGAAAGCAAGTCGAATCTATGATAAATTGGAGGATTTAATTGAACGACGAAAAACCGTATCGAAATTAAATAAACGCGGTAATGATGATAACGATGAAAAAGTTATCAAAAAAATTCGGACCGGCTACGAAGAGAATGAGGTGTCCGTACCAAAACCAACGGTTGCACCGCCAATTGTGGTACCGCCACCGTCATGGCAAACCGAATCAAAAAGCCTAACATCACAACAAATCAACATGATGATGGCCAATGCACAACGTGAAATTGAAGAGCGTAAAAAGGCGTTGAGTACATTGAAATCAAAAGATCCGGCAAATCAAGAGGATGTGGAACGCGCCAAAAAGATTGCCATGCTACAGGCACAAATCAAAGCGAAATTATCGGGCATCGGAATGAGTGCGATAATACCGCAAGTGCAAGAGAAACCGAAACCATTGATTCTTGATGAACAAGGGAGAACGGTTGACAATAGCGGACGAGCAATTAGCATACCAACATTGGCACCAACGCTTAAGGCAAACATTCGAGCCAAGAAAAAGGAAACATTTAGCAAAGCGGCAACGGCAAATGACCGGCAACAAGAGGATCAATCGCAAACATTCTTTGACGATCGAATCACGGCAAAGCCAGCCATACGATCAAAGCGTTCATTACGCTTTCATGAACCTGGTAAATTCTAGGAGCAATTCAATTAATAATTGTTATTGATTCTTTTTCGATTATAATTCTATTCTTTTCTTTTGTGATTCTCCCCTTAGGTAAATTTCAACAGATGGCCGAAAAATTACGCATGAAAACACAATTGGAGAAATTACAAAATGAAATATCGCAAATTGCACGCAAGACTGGAATTAGTTCGGCCACAAAATTAGCATTGATTGCACCAAAACAAGATTCACATGCCGAAGATGTGCCACAGATGGAATGGTGGGACTCAGTCATATTGGCCAACGATCTTAAGACCATGCACGGTGATAATATTGCTATTAGAGAGTTATCCATAACCAATTTAATTGAACATCCAACACAAATGAAACCGCCGAGTAAGTATATGAAATTGAATTTTCAAAAAATAAAAACGTTTCTAATACAATGTTGTTGTTTTTTTGGACATTTCAGATGAACCAATTAAGCCAGTCTATTTGCCGGTATTTCTAACAAAAGCAGAGCAGAAAAAATTACGACGGCAAAATCGACGGGAAGCATGGAAAGAGGAACAAGAAAAGATTCGATTGGGTTTGATACCACCGCCGGAACCAAAATTACGTATAGCCAATTTAATGCGTGCTTTGGGCAATGAAGCCGTTCAAGATCCGACCAAAATTGAATCGCATGTGCGCGAACAAATGGCAAAACGACAAAAAGCCCATGAAGATGCAAACAATGCGAGAAAATTGACAGCCGAACAGAAACGTGAAAAGAAAATCCGTAAAGTAAAGGAGGATGTATCGTGCGGAGTATCAGTGTCTGTGTATCGAATTCGTGAGCTGAACACATTCCACAGTAAAAAATACAAAGTCGAACAAAATGCAAAGCAATTATTGATGACCGGTGTTACGGTGCTGTTTCGTGATTGTTGCGTTGTTGTTGTTGAAGGTGGACCAAAGCAACAGAAGAAGTATCGACGTCTTATGTTGAATCGCATCAAATGGGATGAGGATATGGTAAACAATGCTGATGGAAATGAAGTGCCAAATTCATGCGTTCTTGTTTGGGAAGGAACGAGCGCACGACGTCATTTTGGTGAAATGAAATTCAAACTATTTCCAATGGAAAAAATGGCACGCGAATTCTTTCAAAGGCATCAAGTTGAACAGTATTGGGATCTCGCCTATTCTGGAGCTGTACTCGAAGCATTGTAAACAGCATTGATATATTTTTTTTTTGAAAAAAGAACTTTTTGAACATTTATAAGAGAAAGAAGAAATAAAAAAAGAAGAAAAGAAAATTTAAAAAATGTCAGCAACAAATTTAAGAGATAAACCGTTATTTGTAATCGTATTTATACATTTTTGTTTGGCAATAAAATAAAAATTATGAAATTTTTGAAAAGAGATCTTATCGTTTAAATGAACCGGCGTACGTTGTACTGTCAAATGCATACACATGACAGAAACTCAATTGAAAAGCGACACACTCGAACGTACCCCAAACTAATTACGACATTCTCATAAGGTGTGCCTTAAAGTAAATCACGTTATTTCGGTTTAGTTTTTTTTATTATATTTTTCTCGGTTTTTTTTTACAAAAATAATTCACCATGGCAAATAATCCTCCAGCTCGTGATAGCGAAAACAATGTTGTTCCACTGGGGCTACAGCTTCCGCAGCAAAATGGTATGTCAACACACATATGATTATCTATATAT